TCTTTATTCTGGGTGCAGGGACAATATAATTATATCGATTTTGCCAAAGTTCCATTGTGGCCCGCAGGAGCACGATAGAAAAACAATGCGTTGCTTTTTTGCCAACAAATACAAAGCATCTTCGCGCTACGCGCTACGAACTTTCCCCGCCCAGCGACCATTTTTCGAAAGCAATCTTGCTCTTTATCGGCTCTTGTCTGAAAAGTACTTCCTTATCTACGCTATGCGGTCAGCTAATCACAATGCCCATTTATTGTAGTACCCGTGGTCTTGACTAGTCAGTAGCCGTTCACTATATTTGCAGTAATTTTTACAGAATCATACAGAATTTAGTAAACTATTAAGGAGTGAAATATCTGAAGTAAGTGTGATCTAGCTTTCAAGGTAGGATTGCATTATTTTTATTAAACGTATGACAAGCTGTTAATTGTTATCATTTTTATAGTCAGTTAATGAAAACAGTGGGCATTCGTGTTCAATCATCCTCTAAAAAGAAATGTAACTTTAAACAACAGTTATTCAAAAAGGATAATTTCCTTAAAATGGCACATGAAGTGAATATCCCAACATAACTTTCTGGATTGAAGATTAGACATCTCAATACAGATTTATTATTTTTTATTTTGTATTCTTCCTCGTTAAACTCAATTAGATACGTTATCAAACTACCTAACCCAAAGAAAACTAATGACACTGGAAATCAAATTATTTGATATGTGTATACCAACAAATTTTTTCTTAAGAATGATGTGTTATTTATTGGTCATGACTTTTATACAGAAATGATATTACAGAAAAGCAAATATTAACCTGAAAAAAATCAGTGGCGTGTCATTTTTTTTCATCAAAAATATGCGATTCATAAAAACATTTCAGTATTGGGACACCGTTAAAGAACGCCTTGTGTTATTAGGTGTCTTGACAAAATAAAATTTGACGCGTTTGATTTTTTATTACTAATTAGCGGATATACCAGTGATATTTGTTACTCATATAGTTTTAGTACTTTACTTATAAGTTCGCAAATCTAAATAATACGGACGCCTTCAGTATTGGACATTTTTACTTTGTATAACATGACAATTAATTTTAAACAATTTATACTTCTTGCATTTTTCTCGTATCTTCTAAGAGAGTAGGCGAACATTTTAATTGCTTATGTCACTTTAATTTAATTTTAAAATTTGAAAAATTTAAAATGGACACGAAGTAAAGCACTAAAACACCCCATTATGGATACCAAATATCACTGGTATATTGGTGATGAGTAATAATGAATAGAAAACGCATCAAGCGACATTCCAAAAAATCTTCGTCTTAAAAACAGGCGAGAATTCTCCTCCTTCTTTTGAAAGAAAGATTGGGTAACAACCTGTATATTTACTTTTACCGATGCAAAGTATTGTCAGCGAACGTTCAAAATTTCGACAAACCTTTCGACGTCGCCGTTATTCTCTGTGTTGCGTAACTGCTGCATTAAAAGGCCCCACCGTTATATTATGGCTCCCCACGTGACTGAAATGCCAACTCTGACCAAGTTTTGAAATGCCAACAGCACTCATCCGCCTACGCTTCGCTTCAAACGCCATTTACATGGGGCAATAAATTAGACAGATTTTAGAAAATTTAGAGGAAGGCAGTTATTAACAAATATTATTTAAAATTATTAAAATCTATACCCAAACACCAAAACCAATAAAATATTTTAGCTTCAAGATTCTAAAGAATATAAATTCAAAAAATTAAAAGTCGTATGCAAACTGATTCGATTGCTTCTCGATCAATTTATAAAAACATTTCATTTTCGCTGTAACTTTTTAGGTTGTACTTCTGTGCAATAGGCTATTTTGCACCGCATTCATTGGCTGGAAATGTGTATTACACATGTATTAATCATAGAATACACATCCAAATATTTTTGAAATACACTTACTCAAAATAATTTTAAACGTATTTGAAGTGAACGAGGTTAAAACACGCGACCGATAACTTATAATTTGCTCTATCAGTCACAGTTCTACTGAATACGTACCTTAAAGCCTGCGCTGTGCCTGATATCTAGAAGTTATAGAGAGGTAGACCCATTTTTTAGAAAAAAAGGTGACAATTAAGAAATCAGTAATTTTCGTCCCATTTCATTACTTTGCAATTTTTCTAAGGTTTATGAAACACTTCAAATAATCATTTAAAAAACAGTATACCATCAAACCAACATGGTTTTATGGGGTGGTCTAAGATCACTAATCTAGCAAATATCACCCAAGTTATAGCTGAAAATCTACACTTGCGATCTCAAACTGATATTGTCTATACTGATTTGTGGAAGGAGTTTGACAGACTTCATCACGGGATACTTATTTCTAAGTTAAATGATTACGGATTATCATTATCTCAAATCAATTTGTTTTCATCTTATCTAAAAGATCGGCGCCAGATATAACTGCTGTCACGTACATAAAGATTTTATTGTCTGTTATTTTGATTTTATTCTTCAATTGCTCGACAATCCTAAAACCGTTTGGAGATTCCTGTCTTGGAGTGGCCAGCGTTAAGTCCATGTCAGAAAAATGAAAATCAGTTGGAAAATGTAAAATATGTTGTCGCCAATAGTAATACCAAGATGTTAGACATTTTAACATCAAATTAAGCACACAACACAAAGTTAAGGAGATCACAACTCGAGGTACAACTTAATTGCAATATAATTATTGGACTAAAATGTTTCATTTTTTTTTTCTATATATTCAGAGAGATTGCACATTTGTCTAGTACCCGGCATCCACGTAGGTTCAAACTGATGTTGTCTATACCGATTTTTCGAAGGCGTTTGAGAGTTGATCATGGGATACTTATTTCTAAGTTAAATGATAATGGATTATTATTACCTCTAATCAATTTGTTTTCATCTTATCTAAAAGATCGGCGCCAGTTTGCTATATTTGGTGGACTCAAGTCTGTAGAATATGTCGCAACATCCGGTGTTCCTCAAGGCAGCAATTTAGACCCCCTTCTATTTAATATTTTTATTAATGACATTGTCGAAAGTGTTGATGTTAATTGCTTGTTATACGCTGACGATCTAAAGTTGTTCTGCAAAATTGATAGTATTTAAGACTGCCAAAACCTGTCATTGAATGTAAAGCGTATTGAAAACTCGCGTGTCCATAATAACTTGTCATTAAATCCCATCAAATGTAATGTCATGACGTATTCACTTAAAAGCAATATTATCAGATATGATTACCAAATCAATGACATCGTACTAAACTTCCTTTCAATCCAGATATTATCTCCGCGGTGTCTGCCGCAAATAAAACCCAACAACACAGGTTGAAATGTGAATCTGGTCCTAAAATTTATATTGGACAAACAGGTAGATCCTTCAAGAGCGTTTAAAAACAATAGTCTAGATTCTAATTATGCTAAAAACTTAAACACAGAAAAACACATTTTTGACGACAATTTTGATATTTTACATACAGCCACAAAGGGTAGAAAATTAAATTTATTGGAAGCTATGGAGATTAACAAAATGAGACATTCAAATGTATTGCTTAACGATCAATTACATTTAAAAACCCTTTCCATTATTAAACTTAAATTCTCACAACAACATTAATTAAGGTTTTATTGTCATTTTTTTTGTTGTAAATATTACATTTGATAAAGACACGGTGTTGTCGAAACAATTGTCATGTGAAAATACTTTTTTTCATGAAAATCTGAACTTTTAGTGCTAATTTATTTTGTTAAATGGATTTTCATCAAGTAAAAGCCACCTCAGTTCAAATAAATTTCTTTTAATATAGTCACATGTCTGTTTTGTTTTCAAAAACAAAGCTGTGGAAAATACCTTTAAAAAATGTGTCAACATAATTATTCCACAGGGTGTTTTTAAATTAATGATCAAAACGTATATCAAACGACTCGATACGAGGATTTAAATTAGTTTTAAAAAAAGTTTATGAAGATCATCCTAAGAAGTTGTTTTAATTAAACTTTCACTGTTGCGTTTTTTCTCGCACCTGAGTGAATAATAATATGATAATATGATAATAATATATGTCGAACGTAGAATGGACGACGCACGGTCGATCGAGGTCGAACGACGAATTACCCCGAAAATCCGTGACATTTCGACCGCGGGATGAGGGGCGGGGGGTCAATAAAATCCAAAATGAGCCCACGCCCCGTCGCGCCGCCATTAACCACCGCTGAAAAAAATTCGTAATCGCGAACGGCACCGATTTAATGCGAATCACCTTCGGGCGTCTGCATCAAAACAATGCTCGTATAATTTTTTCGATTCGAATTTCGCGGCCCGCATATTTTTCATGTTTTATTAATCGCAACATGACGGAATTATTGCCGGTATGGGGGTCACCCGCGACAATTGGCGGAACGCGCAAATATTTACTATTTACGTAAGAATATTTACTAAAAAAATGAGCAGGTCCGTCAAAAGTCGAAAACAGGTAAATTTTAAATTTATTTAGTCAATAATTAGCGTCAACGAATTTAATCAATTTTAATTAAAGTTTAATTAAACTTCTTCCCTTCGCAATTAACTTAACGAATTTAATCAGTTTAATTAAACAGCAACGGGCGCGTTTGACACCATTCAAAGCAATTGGTTATGCAAACAACCGCGCAAGCAATAATCCCAAGAGTGTAAAATTTCACCGCCTTTAAATAATTAATAGATAAGATTGATTAATTAAGGAAGCATTAAGAAGAATCTGATTTCACCAATCATTTCATGACGAAACAACGTCAACGATAAAAAAATGTAATTTAATTAAACGGCTTCATTTGGGTGCTTCAACAATTTTATTAAGATAATTAAAATTTAATTAAACTTCTTCTCCTAGCAATTAACCTATTAACTATATCGTCAAAATTTAATCAAGGTTTAATCGCGGCCCTTCCGCTTGTATCAATTCTCTTAATTAATAACGATTAAACGTAATTAAACGCCGCGAGCGGGCCGTCACCGTTACCTTCGTCGACGTGAGTGCCATGCTTCAGGTGGTGCAGGTGCGCGTAATAGTGGTGGTGGTGCAGTATGCACTCCAAGTCCGTGCAGTTTAGCATTTTGAGCGGGCACCAAAATGCGACAAAATAAATACGCGATACGGACGCACATATATACGGAGCGTTACGAGCACGGCGGCCAACGAATTGGCTGCAGGTCGGAGACGCGGTTAAGCCAAGACTGATCGGTGGCCGCCTCCTTCATAGCGGTCCGTCTTTCTGGAGAGTTCTGTGTCGCGCACCCGAGCGGCGGGTTAACGCGATAAGATTAACGGGTTAATGAGGTTCGTCGCGGCGACCACTCGGGGGCACTATCGAAAAACACCAGCGAAGACGTTGTCGCCCCTCTACCCCGCGCCGCGTTGAAAACGAGAACGAAACCCGCCGTTTTCGACGAAGGTCGTCGGGTCCGCGTTCGGTCCGGGCATATACAGGGCGTCGACGACGAGCCCGGACGCTCTACTGCGTCGGGGACCACCGCTTAACGCGAAGAAAGGAGCGACAAACAAAAAACTACCCCCGGTGACGTACCGACGCGGGCGTGAGGCTGCCTTGCCGAAAAATGACGCGTGCAGACGTGGGGACCCGCGACGATGACGTCGTGCCTGGTACTACCTCGGCGACGTATACGCGGACGAGAAAATGGAAGGCGCAAGAAACGGCCGACCACCGCCGGGGGGACTTTCTAATCAAGGTTGGGGAGTTGCACGGCGAGCGATACGACCGGGCCGGTTTCGTTCCCCATTAAGAACAAAAACCAACGTATCTAATACGCGCGAAACCCGCAAAAACACTATTAACTCAAGATCGCGGGAAAAAGTCGTTAGGGAAGCGTTAGCGTTTCACGAGAAGCCCCAAAACGCATTTTTAATCGCCCACGGCCATTAGAAAACATTCCGCAGCGCCGCCACCCCCGATCCGCGCGGAACGTTACCAACAACGCAATAACTAGAAGAGCATAATGCGACCAAAAATATAGTGCATTTATTGCTTTGACGTTTTAAGTATTTTACAGTACCTTAACCGTAGACCTCCGCAGGACCGTGGTAAAACCCATCAAATTAAGTAGGTCTTCCCTGAGATGAACCCTAACGAATATTTGTAAAAACTTTTTATTTGAAACGTAAAAGTTGATTAAGCATTGATGTTGCGGAGTATTTTCGAATAAGTAGAAGCATTAATTTTAACATCAGGTGATAAGAGTTTAATCTAAATTGCAATATGTTCGTATATATTACGGAGGTATTTGACTGTGATCATTCCAGTAAGTACGTATTTATATAGCTGATTCTCAAGCTTTGACCCTGCGAGACTGTTTTCACTGGATAATTCTGATAGTCTGTACTCTATTTATCTTACATTATCTTACAAGTAAGTTTGAAAATAATCATTTTTGTCTCGTGTGCTTGTCGATTCTTCTTGTTGTATTTTTCTGTCTACTACATAGTTCTTCGATTTTTTTTGAAGACTATATATTATATTTGCGGTAGATACAGATAAATACTTATTAGAATAGTAGGTTCCTTTTTTTAACACTTTAAAATGTCAAGACATGGAAAAAACATGCAGTATTGGAAAAAAAGTGGAGATGGTACTCGAGCCTACTACCTCAGAAAAAAAAAATGGATCCATTTGTCTTCGGATGCTAAACAAATTGTTTTGAATGTGTACAATTTTATAAGAAATTCAGAAGGGGAAGTAGGAGCAGCAATAGAAACAAGTGATGTGACCAAAGTTCCGAAGTCAACTGTAAGAAAAAGTGTTGCTAATTGGATAGTCAAAAGGAAAGTGAGAGAAGATGCAGATCTAATTAGGCATATAATCTACGGGGCTTAGAAAGTGTTTTAACCCTAGAAGAACGACATAAAAAAGTACTGGCAGACTTAAATATCAGTTGTGCCAAAGAATCATTGAGTACCTTTTTGAAGAAAATGGATTTTCAGTTCCAAACAATTAATAAACGTCAAGTGCAAATGGAATCTCAAAAAATTTCGCAATGGAGGGTGGATTATACAAATGCAAATGAAAAATTTCGAGAGCAAAGTAGACCAATAGTATATTTAGACGTAACGTGGTTCGACACTGACGACACAGTAAAAAACGATGGTGTGACATGGAAACGCATAATAATTCTTCATGCTGGGTACAAAAAGGGTTGGGTGGAAGATTCGTTATTTAGAATGAAAACATACTTATATCCCACCTGTTCGTGTAGGTAGATAAATTTCTATGACGGTCCTGGAACAGTTACGGGTAAAGGTCTGCTGCTGGTCGAAGTATACAAGTTATATTCCCTAAAACCCTGGGGAATAGAAATGAAACCGCAAAAAAGATTCTATAATTATGATAGTCAAAAAAAACTGCCTTATAAATAGAATCACAAAGTAGTGATCCAATAACTAGCGCAAAGAACAAAAAGAGGAATTCAAAGAATAAATAAGCAGGTCCCAGAACGGATTGAGACGGCAAACTTTAAGAACTTTAAGCACATCACAAAGACAATCAAACGGGCTGTAAGTCTCTGAAAGCCCAAACCAAACGTTTCACCTTTATTGCGAATCGAAATAACTAAACAGAACTAGGCCCTGACTAACCGAAACTAATTTGAGAACAATAACCCGATGGAGCTGTTTGGAGACAACAGAACAGAGGCGGGACCACATGTCAAGGAGAAGAGTATTCTTGTGAGCACCAGGCGAAGACTCTAGCGGAGCAACTTCAATACCGAAGTGAAAATGCAACATATTAAAGCGGGAAATTGCCGGTTGGATTGGATGGTTTTAACATATATCCCGCTCCTAAAAAAAAGACGCAATACAAAGACACACAGGACCAAGCAAACATTCGTCTCTCTCTAAATTTTCTGTTAGAAACCTGGAAGAAATAAGTTTGAATAAACATCCCATCTCGGGGCCTACTCCAATTCGGTATCTATATTAGCATGCCGGTGCGGAAGTTCATTCAAGTCTTGCGTTAATATTCATACGTACAAAAAGCAAAAAAAAATGAATAGGTTAGAATCTTCTATCATTCATGACCAATACAACTCTCGCCCACATTTCGTAGAAAGCGGAGCGTTAAACATCACCAGAGCTCAACTGTTTTAGTTTAAGTATGGAGAAGTCATTACGATAATTGATGAAACCTCAGCATGCCCGATTTATCAACATACGACGCAGGAGAAACCCAGCAGATTTGTAAGTAGCAAAAACTGACCATCAGTCCCAAGTGTAATGGTTTTAACGCTTCATCAATACCATTTAACAACATAGCTATTAGATAATGTAGTGGCGTTGCGACGATTGTCCGCGTATGTCTCTGCACCTCTCACCAACACTTGGCCCTATTTTCTTTCGAAACAATTAACTCGTTTTTTTAGAATATTTAACGATATCTGACGAACTGTCAACGGCCATGTTGGTTGTTGAATTCCGCAAGGTCGTGGCTTAACAGCCAGATGATAAATAGGGCTTCTCATTTTTTTTTCATACTTCATAACTTCCTTCAGTGTCAGCTTAGGCAGGGCCTCTAAATCTCTATATCGCGTTCCTGTCTATGTAGGTTTCCGCGAGAGGGCGCGCGCACGACAACGAAAACTTTCGAATAACGAAAATATCTATTCGATACGTACCTGCGATGTAAACGACGGTTATTCCTCGCCGCCGGGCCCCATGCACGCATCTCGAACTGAAACACGAACGCTGATCCCCGAAATTACGAAAAACTACCCGAAAAATGCTACCGTTTTACTCGCGAACGCGTCAAATTGGGAATAGCGCAGGGCACGCTCGATCGAATCGTCGCGTTTAAGGCCGTCGTGGCAAGCCGCGATCGCTAATGGCGTCCCCATTCGCGTAAGCGCGGCGGCTAAGGTCGCCCACCACGACAAAAAAGATCGCCTCTGGTGAGCTATGTAATAGATCTAATAACCAATGAATAGAGGGAAAAGACGGAGATACGACTCGATTTTTGAAAACTACTTTGCTAGACATCAGAGACTTATCCTTGACAATGTCCATCCATCGAATATTTGAATTTGCATTCATTTGCTGATGTCACTCGGCTATTTTACTCCTGCGATCCTAAATTATTTGATATTGCTTCAATTTATATCAATTTCATCAACTTAATGCTAAAAAATGCAGTGTAATGTTCTTTTCTCCTAAACCAAGTATCCCAAATGTATTTATTAATTAACGGTGAACATTTGAAAATTGTGTTATATTTGATTGTAGAATTGTAGACTTACATTCATGGAATATGTATCTTTGTTGGTGAAAAAGTCTTATTTGGTTTTGCGCCATTTATACAGGCATAGAACTGTCTGAAAACTAACTGAAACTAGCAATATTCCATGCATGCGGAATTTTTGTCCCTAGTCACGTGGTCTAAATATTTTGTCCGTGTAGAACATAAAGAAATCGAATAGTGTTATCTCTTACTCATATTCCCCCCACCCCCCTCTTGCAATGGGTTTCGTATAGGGATGGTTTGCTTCGATGGATTATGAAGAGCACGTTCACAATTGTAAAATCTGTCTTTTACGGTAGAAATCGGAATGAACGTGATTCACGGACGACCTACCACGTACGAGACAGGCCGAAGTATTTCACGCGGTTCCAAAAGTCGGCTCGAGCGGTTCGTAGCGGGCTTGCAAATTACGAATTTTGATCTCGTTAGAGTTTGCGAAACGAACGACCAGCGAAAGGAAAAAAACGTCAACGGCCCAGTTATTATCGTGTGCGAATTCGGTTTTACGAGAAATTTACATATATACATATAGGGGCCCAGAGAGCATGAACAAGAAAAAAATAATAATTTACTTCTTCCTTGCCATGTTACTATTAAACTTATTTTCGGGTGTTCCAAAATTACAGTTAAAGTTACAGCGACAGAGCTTTGTTTTGTGATCGACGCTGCTCATAAAAGAAGGCTAAGAAGAAATACTCGCTGCAGTTCTTATTTACTTGTTGGTCTGGGAGCAAAAGAAAAAAATTCCTCGGACGTTGGTAATCGGCGAATGGCTATAATAACCTGCCCAACTGTTTGTGAAAAGCAATAAGAAGAATATGCCTTGCGTGATAGTCAACGCTAACCTAATTACGTGATCTTTTTCGAGGGAACCATTGCACATGGCGGACGTTGCTCCTGCCCGGTTCCAAAAATTTGTAGAAATCGGTCGAAATTAGTGTCGTTTAAAGAAAATATTGTTACGTATATTTGTTATCCGAAGTGTTAGAGACGTAGTGCCTATAAGTTTGGGAAATAGTGTTCGTCCTACGCGGATGTACAAGGATTCGTGATGTGTAATTCCATGAGGTGTATATTAACACGGTTTCAGGATTTCTTGTATTCACGCCGGTAACCAGGCCGGATGGGATCGGATATCCCGTATAAGATAATCGCGGGAGCCGTTTGAGAATCGGACGTCATTTTATGACAATTTATTTAGAAGTTGTTTCCGTCTTTATATACGTTAAATAACCTGGAGGATGGTGGATTGGTCCAGACCCTTCTCTTAAGAAGGCATTCTTTATGATATCTGAATAATGTTAAAACTTGTGTAAGCTGGCCGAATGACCTTACGCAGTCGTGGCCATTAGACGTAAAGAAGACAGAAGAACCTAATTACGTCCGAATATTTGACAGTTGTAGTTCGTATTTGTAAAGTGTTTGAAATTGTTCATCGATAGGGGTCCTGCACAAAAAAGTTTCGCTTTTTTCTTATTATCCTTTTTTAATATATTTGCGTTTGTTTGCGCTTAGTGGGACTCCACCTAATAGACAACTAAACTCCTTTCTTAACCATCACAATTCACTGGAACCGTCCACTATCTTTGCCGGCTGCCTATCGTTTAATGTAACAATTTATTTACAATAATATGATAATTTAGTTATATAGACATGGATAAACTTCCCAAAATACCAGAACAGCGGCTAGAAGTGGCAATAGACTTATCTGTAATCACTAATTTGTCTTTCCTTACCCTACCAGAAAAATTTCTTTAGGATGAAGTAAGATAATACAAATAAAAAAAAATCGAACATTTTCGTACTTCAAAGTTTTCTTCTTAAATCAATTTTCAAATCTCAACTTGCCTTTTGAAATTGTTGAAATTAATTCGTCAATATGTTTACCTTATTTTACCTTATTTAATACCGTAGATGTTGTTGGTGTATCAAGCCAAATTGGGTCAGAATTAGAAATAAATGGGTCAGTTCTGCACTTAAATATGAGTGGCTAGAAAATCTCAAATTAACCATAAAACCGACACGGTTCCATTAACTAAATTATAATAATATATTCTGATATAACTTAATGCTTATTTCAGCTACTAGAACCGTGTAAATCCCCCTTAAGGCAGCACAGCTGCGTCCTAATTCGCGGCCGTCCGCAACCCGCTACACAGAGATCGTTGCCCGACGATCAAATATCAAGGCTCGCGTCGCTCATCGTTTCTATTGTTGTGCGACCCGCGATAACTGGGTGAAGGCACTTGCAACTCGCAGAAAAAAACAAGTTTTATCGAAAAAAGGAACAACAAAAAAAAAACGCGAACCGTTCGGAAATTCCGAATGTTTGTTTCTATGTCGAGTTCTAGCCGTCACACCCGGAGGAGATCACTCCGGGTGCGACGGTTTTCGATACTCGTCTCGGGGAAACAGGTGTGTGCGCTCGTTGCTTATTTTATTTTAGGAATGCGCGTCAAAAATTTAATTAAAGAGCTGCTTGGCGAGCAAGCGGGGCGGGTGTCGAAACCCGTCGAGCGCGATTGAATTATTTTTTAAACGTGAGTTTGATAAACGCACTCTCTCTGGGACAGATTGTCTCGATGGGAAGATGTTCCGTCCGCGTAAAACAAGTTTAAATATTCTTGAAAAAATCGTTAACAAGGCATAACAAAACAAATTTTCGCTTAGAAATCCTAATTGAACTAAACCTAAATCTTTACTTGCTTAGCTAAAACCAGCATAAATATTCGGCACACACGTACTATGTATCAAGAAGCATTATTTAAGGTACCACCATTTTTTTTTAAACACACCAGTGGCGGGCGGATGGTGGAATTTCACATGTCCGCCGTTGATTTCTCTTAAGATAAAAATTATTCTCACAATCTCCAATTATTTATCTTTTCTCTAAATATGACCGCATGCCAAGATTTATTATTATTATTTCTTACTTAAGTAATTATCTATCTGTAGAAAAGATGAAGGATCGTATAAGAGCTTCCTGCGATTTAATAAGAAACACTGGACGTTTTCTTCAAAAAGAGCTGAAGCGTGTGAGCAACTTTCAACAACTTTTCTAGTTTCTATGTTCTACTTTTTTTTCAAAAAGGTTGTTATTAATTTATTAACAGACAATTTTGTTAAAAATCATTAATAGTAGGTAGTGTTTTTTTTAATAAGAATTGTTTATTATTTACCTTGTAATCTTATTAAAACTGTAAAAGTAAAAATAACAGTTTTTTTCAAAGGACACCAACTGGTCAATAAAAACTAGATATTTTGTGTCAGATATTTTTCACAAATTATCGATTTAACTAGTGCGGTGGTGCCTTAATTAACCAAAATATTATTCGTTCATAGACAGTTAGTAGCACGCCACTGATTTAAAAAAAAAAATAATGACAGTTGCATTCATTTATGAGCAGATTTGATCTCTTAATTTTTTTGGTCCGTTAAGAGAAAACCGTACATTTAGAAAAATATATTTTACTTTTGAAAACTTTACATAGTTTGCTTTTTACAATGTATACAAAAATCGCCATCTTAATTATTGTCATTAAATTAGAAAACCATGGAAAACCAGATTTAACTCTGAGTTTAACAAAATCAAATTCGGTACTGAATAAACTGAAATTAGAAGTGATTATTTTAAAAACTAAACTCACCTTAATAAGCCCATGTTTGAAAAATCCCAGTTTTATTAGCATAAGTTTTAATTGGGATATAATAAATCACAATGAGCAAATCGGAATATAACTAAACCAAATTTGGATTTAAAGCCTAGCTTGAATCAGTTTTCTTAAATCAAACTTCTTAACATGAGTATAACAAAACTAAAACCAAACTCAATTAGTAACTCCAAGCTTGACAAATCCCAATTTAACTTGGTTCGGATAAATTAAATAAAAATTAGCAAATCGGATTATAACTAAAACAAATTCAGCTTAAACCGTTTTAAATAAATTAAGGTTTTAGTATAACCACATTAAACCAGGTTTACATGCAAGCTTAGCACAGTTTAACTAAACCTAAATCTTGAGAGTTTAACTGAACCGATGCTTAACCAATTTTAGCAAATGCAGACTAAATTAAATGAAGTTTAGAGAAATAACTGGCTAAAAATCAATAAATTGTAATTAAACATGCTTCCTTCCAATTTAAACCGGGTTTAGTTAAATCCAATAATGGTCAAGAATTTTGTTGGGGTCTGTCCATAAACACCCAGACTAAAACAACTGGACAACATAGCGAAAAAACACGTTTATTTCCTAGAAATAAAAAAAAATACACACCGGGACGTTATTCCGCATGAACAGATCCTTCGCCGGGCACCTCGACGTTGCTACCGACGTCGACCTCCTCCACTACCGGAGCCCCGTCGACATCGTCCCCCGACGGCACCACGTCCGCGAAAAACATATCGGGTGAGAAGGCCACGTCCTGCACCTCGGACTTTATCGATACCTCGCCGTCCTTGAACGATAAACCAAGCCCTAGCGAACCAAACGGCCCCTTTGCGCAAACCACCCCAATGACTTACTTTCACGGACAACGTTGCCCCTGTTTCCATCAGGAAATCCCCGATAAGGTGGGGCGGTTTAGAGAAGGGGGCGGGTATCATTTCCACGCCCTCGATCAGCTTGTCGAGCTTGTCGACAACGTGGAGCTCCCGCACCTCCCCCACGTGGCCATCTTCGTCGATCACCTGGTACTGCAGGCCCTCCTTGGTGGACAGGTTCTGCAGCACCTCGTCGGTGACGCTCACCAGGTTACCGTCGCTGTCTTTGTACACCACCTCCACATTGGACGGCAACTCCGCCCCCAGGATGTACTTGAGCTTATCTGTCATGACCGAGGATTTGCTTGTCGTAGCGGCCTCCACAGCCGCCCCGTTGTAATCAACCACCTCGATGTAACCCCCGTGTGGGATGAAATTCTCCACCGTCGTCTCGGTGCAGCTGTCTTCGATGATAAAGCTGTTCACCTATGCATTACCGCGATATTTAGGTCGCCTCGCAACCCTACAAGCGAGCTAAAATACCTGGGGCGCTATAGCTATCTCTTTTTGCAAGCTGGCCAACGCGAGCCGGCTGGCCTGTGCCTCCTTCACGCAAGCCTGCTCGACCTGTTTGCGGAGCTTTCGTTTCGCCGAAAATGGTTTCATTTCGACCGCCTCCGTCAGGTTAACCGCCTTCAGGTTACTCGAAATGCCATCCGCTAGGGGGGGAACTCTTAATGGGGACCATACGGGAAATATGCAAACATACCTTGAGGTGGCATCGAATATGTGGGATATTTGGGTTTCTTGGTCAAAAACGAGGGTGCCGGCAGTTCTATTACTTCCGCTGAAAAACATTTCAAGTCCCCACGAGTCTTATCCTAGGCAACTAGTCAGCCAAGCCATCCCCTCGCTGTTGGTCCGTTTTTAAACGTTCCAATAGCGGTGGGCGCGATACAGCCGTCTCAATCGATTACCGTTGTGCTGATCGGCGAAAACGTTTTCCAAGCATTTCATCTCGAATAGCTTGAACAAAGCCTGCAGGTACTTGACGTAGTCGTCGCCGACGACCGTGCGGCCACAGTACATGATTTCGATTACACATTTGACGACGGAAAAATCGCAGCCGCCTATCACGATTTGCTCGATGTCCGGCGTCTTTTCCAGCGCCTCCTGAACACACATTATTCGCTCTAGTTTACCCGATTATTGAAAAAATAACATACTACGCAGCAATTCGGATTTTCCGTAAACAAAAGGACCAAATTTCAAATTAAAATCTAACGAAGTCTAAAGCGCCATCTACCGAGGCGCCACGAACGAAAGTTGGTGATGCATTCGACCCGGACCAATAAAAATCAAGAACGCATTTTTAAAACTTTTGCAGAACCTATTTCGCCATAACAAATAGTATAGCATTTTGCCATGCGTGGGCCATAAAATAACCAATATTCTTTTTAACACTGCGCTTTTGCCATTAAATACACAACTAACAAAACCAAAGTCTCCTTTAAACATTTTCGATAAATGCATGCGAAAAAATTATAGGGCCGCCATTACAAACGAAATCGAAACTTACCCTCAGATATGGGCTGTTGGCAGCCAAAATGAACTTGTGTGCTTGGATCGTGTTGTTTCCGCAGCATATCAGCACATCAACCAAACTCTGGTGTTCCATCAGCGAGCAAAACTGCCGGGTCAGGTTCTTGGAGTGCGTTTCCCAATGAACCGCGTATTTCATTTTGACAGGATTCATCTTCAAATCCTGGCAACAGAACCAATAAATATGTTTTATAATATTTACTTCGAAACTTGCCGCGAATTTGCGAAGGTTCGAAAACGGCGTCGGTAGATCCAACACCCGGGAGCCAAATGAGACCGAGGCGCCATCGGCCGGTCAATAGCATGTAACAAAAATTGAACTGTTTGAGATTTCTTCTTTTTAATGTGTGGCCAAGTTCTAAAGCCCAAGCTGAAAGTGAGAAAATTTGTTGAGAACATAATGAAAAATAGGATTTTAAACTTCCCCACCATTCCTGTAATTGGAAAAACAGTTCCGAAAGGACAAAAGTCAAAAAAAGGATTTTTTTTTAAATTTTTAGAAGAACCGTAAGTTTTATCATAAAATTACCTCAGACAAAAACTGTAGATCCTAAAATTATCTATAAAAAATGTATTCATAAATTTTTCTAATAATCATCAATAGTTGATGATTCATTTGATTCCAGTGAGCAAACATTGGAAACATCGATGTTGACGCAACTCACTTCCACATGAGGAAGGTCAGAAGAAGAACAGCAAGAAATATTTTAAGGGGATTCTGTGGTGGAGTATTGAACGCGGCGCTTTAACCTCCGTTCGCTCCCGACGGAATCCTTTGTAATAGTCCCCAAAATTTTGAAATCGGTTTCCACTGTGTGGATTTAGTGTTTTTAATGTTCAGTGAATGTTTTAAAGTTATAATCGTTGTAGGGGCCGTCGTTTTTTCCTGTTCACGCCGGTATGGAGGCCTGATTGGCCCCTATGGTCCGCGGGGTAACGGTGAGAAGCCGTTTTTTTGGTATCGATCAAAATCCTTTTGTTGCTAGCTGAGCAAATGGTGGTTATATTTCTTCTTTTTACGTGTTAGCCTATTACCAAAGCGAAACTCCTTGACGGAAGTCGGCAATGTCCTAATGTTCATAGCAGTATGCTGAACAGAAATTGTGAAACGTATAATTGAAGGTTATATAAATCTGACGATTAAATTTCAACTTTTTTTAATCCCATCACGTTAATAATTTCGAAACCATGCTAATATCTGTTATTATACAATAGCTTCAAATTATTCATTATCACAACAGAATGTAGAACGTTGAAAAAAAAAGCGCCAATTTATTGACTTGGAAACGTGTGCATATTAAGCTAACAGTTTTTACATTTTGATCAGTTATATCTCCGAAACGATGGCTCTTAGGTAAAAAATTATAAATATATTTTCTTAACAGATAATTTTGTCTGAGGTAATTTTATGATCACACTTGCAGTTTTCATGAAAATCGCAAAATCATTTTTTTGACCTTTTGTAACTTTTTTCGCAATACAGGAATGGTGGGGAAGTTTAAAGTATTATTTTTCATTATAAACAACTTCCCCTCCGTTTCAGTAAATTATTTTATCTTTGTATGTCTAGATTGACCTTAGGCTGCCATTGGAATTTCATAGATCTCCTTGGGATTTAAAGCGAAATAAGCGAACACGACTGGAAAAATTAGTTTTATTCAATAAAACAAAGTTAATAAAGACATCGACGTGGTTAATTAATGGTTATCGGGTTAAGTACCGGTTGTGAGGGAATCGACGTGTTCCGGATGCCCCCGCCGGCGCTCTTACGTTTCGCGTTATAAAAAATACGGATTTAAGTACAATTGGATAGCGGTAAGCGAGCCCTTTGGCACTGCGGGTTTTCCGCGCCGAAATGGCCGCGGACCCCCGAGGGGAAAATATCACATGAGGGTCAACCGTCGACGTTGACGTAATCGTTCTCAGAGAGCAGACCCTCGAGGTCCGACTGGACGGTATGGATGTTGGAATCGATGTCGACAGTCGCCAAGTCGACGGGAGGTGTCGTCGTCATCGTCTCCGTCGGCTGTTTGGCGACTTCCCGGATCGTCGTCCGCACCAGCACGCCGGTCCGCGGCACTAGTCTTTTGACGGGCTCAATCACGGCACTGGTCTTCTCCGGTCTACGCAGCTTCAGGCTAAACTTGAACGGGGGCTTGTAGACCACCTGCAGCCGCACCTTTTCCTTGTCGCCCGCGGGGATGTTGCCCACGCTGCGTGACTTGATCCCGTCGGCCCTAGGCCGTGCGGCGGACCTCTTCTGCGGGCTCCTCCTCGTCTTCTCCGTCAACCCGGCCGGCGTAGACTTCGACTTGGGCAGCGTGTACTGCGCCCGAAGCCAATTTTGCACTTTTCCCACCGGATCCGCGTCCGCGGAGGCGTGCACCACCGGCTCCGTGGCGCCGCCGTCCACGTCCGCCCGTACGCTACTGTAGTCGATCACCTCCCGTTTCTTCTTTTTCACTTTCGCCGGCTTTTTGGACGCTTTTTTCACCTTGCCGTGCGGCAACACCTCGACGGCGGCAGACTCCGCGCCCGCCACCGCCGCCGCGGTCACCCGCGTCTTTTTCTTCTTCGGCGAGTTTTTGGCGGTCGGTTCTTTGACGCGCTTGCGTTTCACCTTACCGTCGCGCACCTTGCGCTTGAGCGGGAGCTTGGAGCGCACCCCCGGGTGCACGGTGACGCCGCCGTCCGCGTCCCGGGGCAGCCGCACCGCCTCCGTTGTCGAGTCGTGCACGATGGTGACGCCTTTCAGTTTGAGATCCGGACGCTTACCGAGGTACCGAGTGCTCAGCACCTGAGGCAGAGAAAAAAAAAGGTTTCAGAAAACGGTGTGACTCAGGTACATCTGGCCTATAAAATTACGGTTTTGTGGGGTTCATGAAACTAGTAACTTTGTTTTTCTTCTCCAGTCTGTACACAACCGAATTACGCACCGATCTGGCGTGCGGGAAACGCCACTTTAACACGTCTGTTACGTTTCCCAAGGATCCGAGTCACTTCGGACATTTCCGGGATCAATCGGATGGTTTCGAAGATTTTACGGCACGGTTTTAATTTTGACGTTTGTCAATTGTCACGGTCATGTCGGTGAATGTATTCGTGTTGTTTTGCGAAAATGTTGCGCAATATATCAGAATTTAAATACTACAGGCTATAAGCTACGATTACAATCTAGTGGACTAGTTTTGTGAATAAAGTGACATTTATAATTTAAGTTTCCCACAGAAATTTTACATATCGTTCGCATGAACTTTACATTTTCATATATCCATCTCTCATAAAAGTTAAGACCTGCTTGTTCTTGCTTATATGATCTTAAAAATTTAATCCTTTTAAAAGCTTTATCCTTGGATGATGTTTCTTCCAATTACAGTCCTTTTCTTGAAATAAACTACTTAATCTATGGTAAAAGTTAAATAAACAACATAACGTTTTAAAATTGGGTTTATTCCGTTACATGACTTATGCAATAATACATCTATAAATAAAAATAAACATCAGTTAAAAAGAGACAACAATAGCAGAACCAATCGGAACGATAAACGACTAGATTTAATGGCAACTAGTAAATATTTTGATTGAATGGTACTAAATTTAGTAATCCGATTTGTTATTTTTTTCTACTCGTCTGTAAAATACCTAATTACACACCGATCTAGCGTGCGGGAAGCGTCACTTTACCACGTCATTTCCCACGGTTTGAATATTGACATTTGTCAATTCTGACGGTCATGTCAGTGAATCTATTTGTGTTGTTTTGCGAAAATATACCTAAAACGTAATGGACGTAGAAAAAGACGTATGCAACACGTTCGGTAAACTTTTAAGTCACTCGTGAGTCAAATGCCGCACTTGTTGCATAATATACTATTAATTTGTTAAACTGTTATTTTTTCGTGACGGTAGTAGAAAAAGTATAGTATGCGAGACGATTGGTAAACTCTATCTCGCTCGTTTATTAAGCACTCGCTCCGCTTGTGCCAAATATATATATATATATATATATAATATATATATATATATATATATATATATATATATATATATATATATATATATATATATATATATATATATATATATATATATATATATATATATATATATATATATATATATATATATATATATATATATATATATATATATATATATATATATATATATATATATATATATATATATATATATATATATATATATATATATGTCTACAATAATGCAAATAATGCCAAACTAACAACCAGTTTCTTGATTCTGATGTCACTACATAATTTCAAAACAAAATATAAAAAATATCTTTTAAATCTCTATTGACTAGGTTAACCCTATCAGCGAGTTCCAAAATGTTATAAAATCAATTCTCCTCCAATGTTATAACCTAAAAGTTACTATTTGTTTTTTGTTTAGCTTATCTCCACAGTAATTTCTGTAGATAGATAGAGTAGGTTAGACTTGCACCAATCGTGGACAAGTAAATGAAATTACTTCTTTGTAATAACTTCAAATAAAGCCATTATTATTATTAATGGCTTCCAGAGAGAGATGGTTTTCTTCAAAAATTCGGACGGCAAAAAATCGAGCCAAACTACCATAGATTAGAACTGCAATAGGCAATATGCGAGAAGCTTGAAAAGAATCTAGCAAGATACTCTTCCCACTTACTTCTCTTATAAGAACGCAAATGGAGGATCGTTTTAACCTGGGCAGGAGCGAAACAAAGAAAGGAAAATCGATTTTTAACACTCAGACCGACCCAGAGGGCGCCACTTACCAGCAAGGTCACGACGGCGACGAGGATGGCCGCCACCGCGTACCAATACTCGACGATCCACCGTCTGAAACTGGCGATGCTCTCCTCGCTGAGCAGGAGTTTTCTGAGCGTAGCCAGCGGTCCGGACGGGTCCACTTCCCGGCACATTTGGAACACGTCGCAGTAGCCGCTGTAGTCGTTACAAGGCGTTCCCGGTTTCGAGTACATGTCTGGGATATCGTACGGCATATCATTCCAATCGAATGAGGAGAGACATGGCTGGTTATCGCCGGGCAACTTGCAGCATAGCTCGCAGGCTTTCGTCTTGGGGTCGCCGCCACGGGGAAGGCACTGGCACGACTCGAGGCCGTACGCGAGGCATATCGACCCGGTGCACTCCTGCGTATACGAAACAGCGCCGTTCAGACGACGATGGAGGTACCGTGCGTTCAATTTATCTCGATAACATTTCAATAAGCTGTAAATTTTTTGTTTTTAGAGATGTCAAGGTCAACGAAAAACCAAAAGTTTTCTTCCAAGTGACGTATAAAACAAAACACTATTAATTTTCGGACATATAAGCTTACATCATATATTTCTTTAATGGAACCCCCTGTATATTATAAAATATTTAAATTTTGGTCCACTCGTTTTTGACAAATCATCAAAAATAGGAAGTTTTTATATAATTTCAAAGAGTGCGACTTAACTTTAATGGATTTTTTCTTTTCGGGACACATAAAAAAATCACGTGCATAGCACTCCTTGTAATAATGCCGTAGAATTTCGGCAAAGGATTTCAGAGACAATCCGGAAACGTTGCTAAATGCAAGACATCATACAGTTAGGGTGTATGAGAAATGTGTTCGGGAAAATGGTGGTCACATGGTATTTAGAATAGTTAAAGAAATGTTTACTTTAGTCTGTTCTCATTTTTAGTGTTTTTGTTCTACTTTAATTTGTAAATAATTTTTGGTGTTGCACTAAAATGTAAAGTGTGTCTCTCATTGTCATGAGAATAAGATATTGTATTCAACACATATAAAATACGAGGTATTCAGTTTAAAAAAATATGCTGTAGGCTTATTGCAAGAAAATTGATGGTGTTTTGTTTTATACGTCACTTGGCTACTAACCATACATTTTCTTTTCTTCGTTTACCTTGATATTTCTAAAAACGAAAAAGTGCCAGCCAATTAAAATGTTATCAAGATAAATTGACCGCACTGTACAAGGTCGTGAGAACACACCCCCATGAAACACACGAACTCCTTGTTGCAAATGGTGCGGTTCGGTTTGTTGATGGACGGCGGACACTGGGGCTCCTTGCCATTGCAGAAGCTCTCGTCCCGGCATCCGTTGTCGTCGCGACACTTGTCGCCAAACTTGACCTGACAGTCGGCGGTACAGCACGGGCCTTGGGACGGGCTGCAGATGCTGCGGGGCGTCAAGCGGCACGGCGGTTCATCCAGGGGCGGGTAACGACGCATGGGGAAGCAACACTGGTCGCGGCAGTCCTCCTCCCACCCGCAGTCGCACTCCTCGCCCTCTTCGACGACGCCGTTACCACAGATCGCAGCTTTCGGTTCTACGGAGATCGAGGTTAGGTTGTGCATAAAGTTGTATCGATCGCGATTGATTCGGTCACTTTGATTCAATTACTTCATAGAATCGAACGACCGAATCCCGCTTGTTCGTAACCATTCGATCACCTTGTTCGCTCTCGCAGCCGCCGTGACTGGTCTAAACTGACCCAATTCAGGACGACCGATTGACCGAATCGAATTCGCCTTGCGGAATACGATTCATTTGAATGGTTTAAGATTTAAATGCATGACTGAGACAGGCCACGGAAAAGGAAAGGGAGTATTGTTATAATTATTCTATAGTATTGATCGGTAGATTTGCTTATGTGTTGAATTGAATATTGAATGAAATATCTATTTCCACACAGGTATTTAATTTAAACACACTGGTACAACCCAATAGGTAGCACTTATTTTGATAAAATCAAGATGCAATCAAAAACAGAACACAGCTAAATATTATACGAACTAAAACAGTGAACAGAACATATAGACACAACAACAATTCAAATTCAAATGAACCTGAATCGGTCGTTCGGACTGTTTGGATTCAGTGACTATTGCCGCTTATGTTGGCAACAAAAAGTATTGAAATCAACGATTGACACAACACTAGGTTGTTCTTTTTACATAATCCCACTGAAAACGTCCAACTAGGGATATTCCGATACTAGTAAAATACAAGTACTCGGTATCGAAACAAAAGTACTTGGTATCAAATCGAATCAGCCTCACCATTAAAAAAAAATCCTGAACGCATCAGATCTCTATCTGATCTATGGTGACGCGTTGTCTCGCGCCAGCCGACTTCCGACTTCACTCGAGCGAGCTAGAGCGAAAAGCGCCCTTCAACCAACATAAATTGTCAAATATACAAGAGATTGCTTACGAATAATTTTATTTATTGTAATAATCGGCTTATTATTCTAATGTTATCATGGAGTTTTTTGTTTAAAGTACGTGCTTAACGTGACGTAAACCTTTATAATAAAACTTTTCTTTTCCTTCTTAATTTTGTTTTAATTATTGTCCTTTAACGTTCATTGTTAGTTTCCTTAAAATAAATAAAAAAATAAAAAAGTGCTAAAAGTGTCGATATGAGTAAGTATCGATACTTTAGGAGTATTTATTTGACTAGTATCCAAAAAAGATTTCAGTACTATCGAAATGAGTAGGTATCGATACTTTAATGGTATCGGAACATCCCTACGTCCAACGTAAAAAAGACTATAGTAAGAGTCCGTCTCAAGAGCCCGATGACGTCAGATGCGCAGAAGACGAATTTGAAACGGCAATCAGCTGTCGTTCAAAATGCGGCTGCCATTGGCGTGGATCAAATCCTTCCGGCTGTTTATGTTTCGTGGCTGTGTTCTGTGGGTGCTTATATTTCGTTCATTTTTATAGACTTTATTTTCGTTTTGGTTGCAGTATCTTTGCTAAGGTAAGGTATTTTAATGAAATAATGTTATTTGCGCCAAACCGGTACAATTTTAATATAATAAATTTCGTAAGCCAGATAATTTACATGGCGACCATATTTGCTAAATTTTCCATCACAAAGATTTAATTATTAGCAGTATACACGTTTTGCTTAAAATTAGGAAGTAAATATAATATGTTTTTCTTTATAAATCAACTTAAAATATAAACCGGAACTAGAGCTTGAAGTAATTTGTCACAGTTTTTTTTTTATTAAATTTAAATACCTGTTCTACTTACTGATGTCCAAAGCCAGTGTGTTTTATATATGAATTGAGCAAACATATGTTTTCATTTTTGATTATTTCTTCGCATCATTAACAAATTGAAAAGAACAATATGTAAATTACCACCACTGTTTCACCTTTAATTCTTTTCTGTTAGACAAATAAAACCACAAATAACGCAGGTTTACAGTGATTTTGATGTTTGAAAGGTGCTTGCTTATTTGTTTATGTTTGGGGGGTCCTTTTTCCAAAAAAAAAAACGTCATTTTTTCTTACATACCTTAAAAATGTTATTTTATTAATATACATAATACCTATGATATGAATATGTTTGTTCCATGTTAGACATGATTTTTAGATGAATTGATTTTTAAGAAATTAAAAGTGATTTGGCCACACTGTAACCTGCTTATGCGCAGTTTGGTTGGGGTTCGCGGCTGTTGTCTTCGTTGTTATGGATTTCTAGTGTTCTAGAACGCATAGATGGCAAGACGGCAAGAGATAGACACTGGACTCGACTAGAATGACCTTTAGAGCAAGCCTTACACCTGGTAACAAAAATGTATTAAAAGATAGTTTAGTTGACCCCAAAAAAGTTTTACTGTCTCCGCTTCATATCAAACTTGGCTTGATGAAGCAGTTTGTTAAAGCCCTAGATAAAATTGGACAATGTTTCAAATATCCAGCCATATCTGATACCAAGACAGAAGAAGGTATTTTTGTTGGGCCGCAATCAAACACAATGACGAGAAAAACGCCTGTTTTTTTTCTCACTTTTTTTACTGTATAAAAAATATTTGCTATAAAACCTTATACAATACAAATCAACGCATAGAATTTTTGAAATCAGCTTACCAAAAGTAGATAAAACCAGTTTTCAAAATAAAAACAAAAAAAGTTTAATTTTGTAGACCTGCGTAATTTGTTTGTAACTCAAAAAAAAACATCAAAAATGAGTTGCATGAGTCGATTTCTTTCTTCAGCTATGAGCTGGAGCAGATTTTCTATTTCTCGGATGAATGTGCACATTTGTCTAAAAATAAATGTAACCAATGACACATAATATAAAGGAGCTGTGAGCGCAAGCTTGCTAGTATAACTAATTGAGGGCTGCGTAAGAGTATGATAAAAAGTTCTTATAGTATTATGTCGTAGTCTCTCCCAGTCGCCTAATTACACCACAAGTGCCGTTTAATTTTAACACCAGTCTTTCGCTTAGTTGGACGCCGAAAAAGCTTACGTTTTTAACAACTAACTTTGGTACGTAATGGCTTGTTACCTTTAATCTTGTAAAAGTGAATACTCTATTTTTTTTAGCATTTAGCCTTAAGTATTCTAAACAACCCAGCAGTCCTTAAAATGACAAATCATTTCATTGGAAGTGCGGGTTTTTGGGCAGGAAAAACACTTCCATTGTCGCGCGAAAGAGGCCCAGGAAAAATTAAATTATAAAAGGGAAGGAAATAAGTTTCTAATTAAAGCGGCCGCCGCCCCGGAGGCAGACGGAAAACTTTCGAACGTTCCCCTAGGGTGGGGAACCGGATTAATTTAAACCGGGCAGAGTTGCGGGACGAGGGGCGCCGGCCAAACTTACCGGTGAAGCAGCCCTTGGTCGACCTCGCCTTGTAGTTCAGCACAGGGTTGATGCTCTTTAGGCTACAGGGCGAGAAGCGGTTGTTGTTCCTCTTGTCGCCGGAGGTGGCCCTAGCGAACATGATGAAGTTGCCGTCCTCGCCACCGGGCGTGCATTGTTCCGGGTCGTGCTGTGCGCGGAAACAAAAAAAAAAAGTTATGCTCTGGTCCTTTGAGCCGGATTGGGCGCGCGCGCGCGCGCGCGTTTACCGGCGATCCGAAATTGTGGCCGATCTCGTGGGCGAGGGTCACGTGGGACACGGCCGGAGGCACATGCTTGCCGTAGTTGAGCAGGGTCACGATGCCGGTATTGAGGGACTTCATGCTGCCGCGGTAATGCTGAAAAAAAGTCTCTCTAGAAAAAAACCGCTTGTACACCAAACATCCTACAACGACGATACGAAAATTAAAATAATAAGTGAATATTTTTTATCTGTTCTTAGTTCCACCAAGAGTGATTTATAATTCAAATCGACATGGATTGCATTAATGTTTTGAGTTCCGTTTTCTGTCTCATAGTAAAGGTTAATTCACTTTAATTTTTAAGTGATTTACGAATCAATCAGGCTTTCCGCCTGGGCATAGTACTACCACAGTTTCATTGTTATTAATAGTATTGCTAAAGGTTTGGATAATAAAATAAGAGCAATCCTAATTTTGCAAGATTTCTCAAGTAAAGCACAATCCGAGATTGAATGCTAGGAGAATAGGTAGCTTGTAATTTTTGAACCAGGGGTGGTGCTTCTGGATATAATACTTGGGTTTTGCCACCACCTTCCAAAAAATCATATATTCATCAATCATAGATTCAAAAAATTCAGTTTTGCTTCTAACGTTAGAAAATGAACTCAAATCTTTTTCTTTCTCTTACATATGTTAAGAAAAATGTAAATTACAAATTAATGCTATAGTACTGAAATAATTTAAGATATTTAGAGAAGTAAGACTCAGGTAAGTTAAAATTATCATAATTATAGAGAGGTGATATAATGTTGAGAAATTAATAAGAGAGATTATAGTAATGCAGTCCCTTACTGGTGGACAAGGTTTTAAAAGATGCATTTGTAAAGGAACATGAATATTATGTAATTTCAAATGCCACAATAGCAGTTCTTGCTCAACTAAATAAAACTTTTTCATTACGGGATTTCTATATGTTCCTTTCTAATTTTATAAAATTTAACTGTTATAATAAAGAAAATTACGTTATTATTATTTGTTTGATTCCAATCGTATTAGTCCTGCAAAACTAGAACGAACATTCGTTATTAAAACCTTTTATATTATGTTTATTTAAATAAATATTTTTCTGCAAGAACAATTTTAATTTATTTGTATTCTAACTTTTCTTAAAACATGAAGGTATGTTTACCAAAACGTGAAGGCAAGAATACACATTTGCTGGGAAATGTATAGGGTGGAAAACCACCTAATCTCATAAACTATAAGGGATGAAGCCAGAAGTTAAATACAAAAGTTAATTGGGGCATTACAAACCTTTAATTTATTTTAATTTTGTATATACAGGGTGTTTCATTTTTCGTGGGCGAGTCTCAATTTTCTTATTTTAAATGGAACACCTGGTATACTACTTCATTTTTGAATTCTATACAAAATTCGAGACATATTTTGTGCATAATGCCCTATAGCTACGTCTAATAGTTTTTGACATTTTTAATTTTTTATGGGAAAATGAAATTTATAAGATTAAAATATCTACCAATTTCTTCATTCGGAAGCATTTGTTGTTTCACTTGAGTAATTTTTGTTGACGAAGGACTGGAATAACGGATTTCATAAGAAATTTCGATACATAATAATACAGGGTACGCGAAAAATAAGATTAAAAATACAATTTCAAAAAAATGCCAAAAAACTTTTATTTTAATGGAAACTATCCATTTTTATAATCTTGTCATACTTAGTATTAAAAATTAAGGCAATTTTACAAAATAAATAAGAGCTAAAAGTTCAGATTTTCACGAAATTCAACAACAAATGTAATATTTACAAACTACCTGCTGCTATAAATACCGAAAAATGACCATAAAATCTTAATTAATGTTCTTGTGAGAATTTAAGTTCAAAAGTTCAAATCTGATTGATCGTTAAGCAATACATTTGAATGTCTCATTTTGTTAATCTCCATGGCTCCCAATAAATTTAATTTTCTACTTTTTGTGGCTGCATGTAAAATATCAAAATGTGTTTTTCTGTGTTGTGTGCTCTTTTATGTTCGTTAATGCGTTTCTTGAAGGATCTACCTGTTTGTCCAATACAAATTTTAGGACAAGATCCGCATTTCAACCTGTAGACACCTGATTATTGAGATTTCGTTTAATTGTTTTTTAAAAATTTTCCTATTGTGTGGTCAGTTCTGAAAGCTATTTTTAAACCACATTTCGACAAATGTTTTGAAACTTTTACACTGGGTTCTCCTACGTATGTAATTGTTTTAAATTTCGTGTTCTGTATTAAGTTTCGGATAAATAGAGTTTACTGTTGTCTGGATTTGTTTTTTATTTATAATTTTATCGATAATGAAGGATTGCAGCCGTTGTTCAGTACAATTTGTTTAATGATATTAAGTTCTTTGTTGTAATTTTCTGTTGAGAGTGGCGTATTAAGAAGTCTGCGTATAAAAGAGTGAAATGCAGCGATTTTGTGTGTATAAGGGTAATTTGAGGTGTTATGTATGACTGTGTCCGTGTGTGACGGTTTATGGTAAATGGAAAAATCTAATTTGTTTTGCGTTTTCGTAATAGTTAAGTTTAAAAAATTATCCTGTTCAATCTCGATAGTGAATTTTATACGATTATGTAATTTAAAAAAGAATTCAATTGTCTGTGCGTTCCAACAAAGCAACCAAAGACACCATCCACGTATCTATAACACCATAGAAAAGTTTTACTTAAAGAATGTTCTTGTATGATATTTTCCTAATTATCGATAAATTCTCTTCTAATTAAGGACTAAGTGGGTTTCCCATAATCAAACCTTCCTTAGAGATGTAAATCTGTCCAGTAAATTCAAAATAATTTTGGTCTAAATATACTATTAAGCAATCTATTATTGTTTCACCAATGAGTTAACCTGTTTCCGAGTGAGGGTGAAATCTAATAAATCTATCACATCCATAGGTGAAATACCGGGAAATAAGTTTTGTACATCAAAAGACAAGCGTTGCGTTACAAGGGATTTTCATTTCTTCTTTTGAATTCAAACTCTTGATTGGAACCTTCGGCACTGCACTAACACACAATAACGCGTTTTACCACAAACCGAAACTCAATTTTACGTTTTAAAACGTAAAATTGAGTTTCGGTTTGTGGTAAAACGCGTTATTGTGTGTTCTTTTGAATTAACCAAGTTCAAGGCAATTTTAGTATAATGTTGTATATGCCCAATATTTTTACTTTTTGAAATATTTCCTTTTAAACATTTATTTATCAATCATAATAAGCTGTTTCAATATAAGTCCAGTTACTACAAGGTAACTATTATTTCATAGTTGACCATTAATCTTGCCGAAGCGTTTATGAAGATGCAAAGATTATGTATGCATTATTTATACAAAATATGACCAAGGATACGCGATAACGTTGGTGAATTTTTTTGTTAATGAACGATCAATAAAAACTTAATAGCCTACAAAGGATAAGAATTGTTGTAACTATTTTCAATATGTCCGGCCCTTTAAGCTATGCAAGCAGTAAAAAGGGTTTTTAAATACATAATGGCATTTCTAACAGATTCGGGTTAAATCTTCAGGGGTCTTTACAAAATACAACAAAATATTAATTTGCTCTTCATTTTTCAAAATATGACGACGTCTATTTTTTCTTTCTTTAAAGTTCCATATATTCTACAGTTTTGGTAAATCCTGTCGAAGATCTTTTTTTTCTGGGCGCTTCCTTAATGGAAATTTTCTAAGAGCCAGGGTCCGGTTTTTATTATACGATAGGTAACTTTCTAACATATCAATCTTTTCATCTGTTATAAACATAATACGCAAGCAACATTTTAGCACTTGTTTTGTTTAAACGCTGTCATAGACACCTTACACTAAATGAACTTATATGGCAACAGCATATTATTTGTGACAAAGGAAATGTTTCAAAAAGTAAAAATATTAGGCACACACAACTGGTTTGCCTTAATTTTCGATGCTAAATATAATAAGATTATAAAAATGGGTAGATTCCATTAAAAAAAAATTTTGGCAATTTTTGTAATTTCATTTTTAATCTTATTTTTCGCGTTCTCTGTATTATTGTGTATCGAAATTTATTATGAAAGCCGTTGTTCGAGTCCTTTGTCGGTCACAAAACTGACTCAAGTGAAACAATAAATGCTTCCGAATGAAAAAAATAGCAGATATTTTAAGTCTTGAGAAAGATAATATCATCCAGATGTTATTTAGTTTCGCCATATCACTATTTTTTCTTCAATTTTCACCAACAAAGACTATAATTTTAATTATTATTATTAATTAACAAAGACAAACCAAAAAAAAAATCGCGCCAACTCTTGGGTCGAACCTCATCGACGAAGCATAATCCCTATAATCTGGACGACTTACCGATGTTGACACAGAGTCATCTAAACCAAAGTCCGTTTTTACGATCGGCTAGTTTACCCCGCAGATGATCCTAAATCATCAGAAACGGGCCTATACCCTGGGGGCGGTATGGTGGTAGGTACGGCTCGTAAATCGCATCCCCGGCGACAATTACTTATTAGTTTCGGCCGATAGGGGGCGCGCGGTCACGCGAATTAAATTTTACGACCGTTTCGGTGGTTTTCGGCGGTGAAATATGACCCGCGTCGCGGCGCGCTAGTCCAGTCGAAACGTACTACGTCGCGGACGCAGGGAGGGGGTAATTGTAATTAACTACCGCCGCCGCGCGGGGCGCAGAAAATTTAGTGGTTGGATTTTCTTTTTCTGGTAATTCAACTAAAGTCTATTTCGGAAACGTGTAGAGTAATAGAACCTGATGGAGATCCGATATATACCCAAATTCAACGAGAGATCCGGGTTAAGATTAAAAGAGCAAAAGAACAGTGGATGGAAGAACTCTTCGATGAAGTGGAAGTTTTACAGAACAAAGAGGACTCGTTTGGCGTACATTAGAAAGTAAAAAAAAAATGAGTACATAACTCGGAAGAAGAGCTGTTGAGAATATAAAAGAACTACGCCTTCAATCTTTTCAAAGATAGACCACCCCAACCAACTTATAAGGTCCTAATTGACTCACCTATATTGAAAGATGAAGTCGTCTATGTACTTAAAAAAGAATATTCAAACAGTTGGAAGATTTGAGTGGGGAAACCGCAGGTAGGGTTTAAAAGTGGCCTTGCTACAAGAGAGGCAGTTTCTGTATGAACCCCTTAGTACAGAATTTCTCCGTATCAGACTGAAGGAGGCTGTTGCAGAGAAGCTTGAAATACTCAAAAGCGTGACACATTACGCTATGTGGAAAGCATATTCACCGATGATTTGGACGAAACTGACAGTGGAATTAAAGTAACTGGCATTCCAATTAATAACCTGCGCTATGTGGATGTAGAGGAAGATCTACAAATGATGCTGAATAAAATACACAGTGTTGGAAAAAGTAGAGGCTTGAATATAAACATCACGAAAACTAAACATATGATCGTTAGTAGACAGCCTATATATATTAATAATCCATAGAACAACTTAAATCCATCCCGGCAAGACAAGCGTTTATTAAGTTCAAACCCTTCATCTGTAATAAGTCTCTTTTTACTTTTCTTATTACTTTTTATTACTTTATGGCATGGAAACCTGGACCCTAAAAACATCGTCAATCAATAAGCTAGGGGCATTCGAAATGTGGTCACTAAGGAGAATACTCCGACTTTCATGGGTGGATCGTATTTGCAATGAGGAGGTTCTCAGAAAAGCCGGGGTCGAGAGCTTTTGAAGTAATTAAAAACCCAAAATACATGAGATTTGTCATCCTGCTATCAGTAGGACCTTCACTTTGAGATAGCCACCAATGCAGTAAGCATTTTAAGAAGAAGAGAGACCTACGATACCATGCATAAATAATGGCGTTTTATTGGTCGTCTTAGTTCAAAATAAGTCCACATTATTATCTAGAAAAGAGGAATGTTTGCATTTCAAAGTATTTGAGCGAGATGTTTTGAATTTTGTCGGTAACGCTATATCAGGAAAAGGTTATCGAATTTTGAAAGTAGTATTTCGTAGACGGTATGTTAGCATGCATCATTTTTAGACTACAGAACTACAGAACAGGGATATAAGTAATACATTTAAAATAAAAATGCAAAAGGACAGTAAAATGCTAATATTATATTCCATTCCGAGTTGCACAGATCTCACATTCTGTGTAAAGGAGAAAATTTTAAAATATTCGTACGCGGCGTAGAAAGGTAAGAGGTTTGATTTACTCTTGAGGTAACCCTGTAAACACCAAAGTTCGATTTTGATAAGAGGCCCGGATCAACAACCCGATTATGAATAATGTACAAGAATGCCGCCGAATATAAGTTATGCCTATTACGAAGCGAAGTATTGCTTATATCAATTGGGGGATATGCCTGAAAGACAAGGGTTTCAAGAATTTTTGCTTCCAGCCTCCTTGAATGGACTTGGTAAAACGAATTCCATATAAAATCACCGCATTCTAATTTAGATCTAACAATTGCATAGTACAGAGTCTTTAAAGTTCCTAAATCTGTTAAGTCTCGATAGTTCCGTGCTATAAATTCGTACATTTTATTCGCGGCAGACACAGCGGAGTTAATATGGGGAACGAAAGAAAGTTTAGTGCCAAAAGTGACACCCATATCAACAAAAGTAGCCGGTCGGTGAAGTACGATGTCATTGATTTACTAATCATATCTGATATTACTTTGAAATGAATACGTCGTGACATTACATTTGATGGGATTTAACGACAGGTTTTGGCAGTCCTAAATACTATCAATTTTGCAGAACAACTTTAGATCGTCAGCGTATAACAAGCAATTACATCAACACTTTCGACAATGTCATTAATAAAAATATTAAATAGAAGGGGGCCTAAATTGCTGCCTTGAGGAACACCAGATGTTGCGACGCCTTCGAAAAATCGGTATAGACAACATCAGTTTGAGATCGCAAGTCTAGATTTTCAGTTATAACTTGGGTGATATTTGCCAGATTAGTGATGGTAGACCGCCCTTTTATAAAATCATGTTGCTTTGATGTTATACTGTTTTTTAAATGATTGTAAAAAAAACCTTAGAACAATTGCAAAGTAATGAAATGGGACGAAGTGAAATGAAATCTAAATTGTCACCTTTTTTGTAAATGGGTCTAACTCTGCATAACTTCCAGATATCAGGCACAGCACAGGATTTAAGGCACGTATTCAGTAGAACTCGCACAGTCCTTTAAAACAAAAGCCGGAATGCAATCAGGTCCCGACGTCATCTTATTTTTTGTTTGTTTAGGAGCCGCTAGCACTTGGCATTCTTGAGAAGATGTAAAATGAAGAACTTGTTGATTTAGCTGAGTAAGACGTAGCGAAGCAATCGGCAATTATTCTGTAGGTAATCGAAAACAATTTTATTGAATTGGATGGAATTTCTCATTTTATTACTCTACAATTTTCCAAGCTTTAGGTTTCAAAAACTATAAAAAAAAACACTCACCCCATTTTTTTCGCAAACACCGCCAGCGTTCTTGAGGTCGCCGGTCCACGCAAGCCCCAGCGTACCCATTTCGAAGTCCCTGTAGGTGAACATGTAGGCGAGACAGAACGCGTCGTAGTCCTCCTCTGAAAGCAAAAATAAAATATAAGCGTCCACTTCGCGCGACAAAAAAACAAAAAAGAAAAACCCGCCCTTCGACACGCCGGAAGGATTAATGGCGAGTCGAATTAATTAGGCAACTTCATTAAACTTTTCGCCTGGCGAAGGAAAACGAGACGGCTATTTGTGTTTCGACGATTGAAAGCGTCCGCCAAAGTGGTGGAGAAGGGCGCAGGGGAGAGGGGAAAACGATCGGAAAACGACAATCTGACAACGCTGCATTTTTTGGTTAGACGACAAATAATAACTTAAGAGACTTAAGCTGACTCTGATAGGTTAAATACGAGGTGTGTCCATAACAGTTTCAGCCAGTTTGCACGTGTACTTGTTTTTGTGAGCAGCGTTAGATGTGTTTTGAGTGCTCGACGATATTCTGCTGTCAAAAAAATGGAACAAAGAATTTGCATAAAATTGGAATGGAATACGGTGCTGTAAAACGCTTGAAATGTTGACAACGGCTAGTGGTGAATCTACTTTGAGCAAAAAAAAAAATGTTTATAACTGCAAGCTGTTCCAAGATGGCCGAGAAGACGCTTTGGACGTGCCAGCACGTCAATAACTGATGAAAGCGTTGAAGAAGTGAAACAAAAGAACAAACAAACAAACAAAAGAACAGTCGATTTGTTCAAATGGTGACGAATCATAGGTATATGGGTTATGACTTCGACACCAAAAACCCAGAATCGCCAAGACCGTCCAGTTCGATCAAATGTGAAACTTTTACTTACTATTTTCTATGATTATCGTAGTACATCAAGAGTTCTTACCGCAAGATTGACGGTCAATACCTTTAAGTCATGCGCCGTTTGCCAGAAACAGCAGATACTGCATCACGATAATGCACCTGCTTGTGTCTCACTTTTTGGTCAAAAACAAAACCTCTATCACGCCTCAGCCTCCATATTGACCGGAAATGGCCCCTTGCAACTTTTTCCTGTTCCCAAAACCCAACTGGAAGAACCCGAGGCTGTGCCAGAAAGTGCTTACCAGAAGTGCTTCGATGATTGGAGAAAACGTTGGGACAAGGGGGGGGGATTACTTTGAAGGGGACAACATTAATTTTTATAACTAAATATATACTTTTCGCCTTACTTTTTGACCACACCTCGTACACACACTGCTTTCTACCTTGTAATTTGTATGGCGATTGTTTATATAAATTAGTACTAGGGACTTTCACATAAAATATAGGGATTTGTGAATCATGAATAGCTGTTGTGGTAGATTGATCGAGTCGACCATGTTATGGAAGATTTTATGTATATAATAACACTGGTGTGAGTCTTCGTTGTTGCAGTAACTGGACATTTGATTTATTAAGCAATTTTTCATTTTCAATTTCCCGTACTATCCATTGAAAGATACCAAAATATTAAAAAGGTACGCTGTATTTTCTTTATTGCAAATTGGGTACCTTTGCCAAAGAAACATTAATATAATTGCTATTAATAAATCCTAGAACAGAATTACCTGTGCTAGAAATATGTCACAAATACCAATGACAATATTTAATTTGTAGAAATACAATTTTTATTAAGATTACTAGTGAAACTCGAAACTTAACATTTATTAACAGTTAAACTTGGTTTATTATCATTTCTGGAAGGCGTCAAACTGCCCCTGGAAGCTGACGGAATCATTAACACTAGTAACAGATGATACTATTTTCAGGTCGTCAGTAAACAGCAAAAGAGAAAAGTAAACACTTCCTTAAGTTAACTTTAAGAACAAAAAATTAAAATTAAATAATATTACCAAACGTAAAGGACCAGGAATAAATCGTTGCGGTACCATGAACAAGACATAAAACACCTCCCTAAGTTAATTTTAAGAACAAAATATGGTACATATATTATGTTTACTTACTAAATATAGAGAAAATTATAAAAGCAATTAAAAATAAATTACCACTAGAGTAAAATTAGCTAATTGCAAAAATATATATATTATTTCGTTTTATATCATTTGCGTGAATGCATTAAAATGGCCTTAATTATTTCTATCGCGAAAACGAAACGAAAATACAAAAACAATTCACGATTTTAGCCCTTGAACGACACTTATATGTAGTAGCAGGTTCTAAACCACTCTGGGAAGGGGGGGGGGGGGGGAAGATTTGAATCGTCGTGAATTTTCGGGTGTGTTCGTTTTGCATCTATGTTTCCTTTGTAAATTCTGTAAAAACGTGTATCCGAATTAAAAAAAAAAGTCGGTGAATTTTTTTTAGTCATAGTAAATTACGATAATCGCGAATTCTGCTCTCCCCCTCGCGCCCCGTGCGTACCAAAAATTTTCGATTGGCGGATTAAGGGGGTGGCGAGCGTTATGAACCAGCGCTCCCTAGTCGCCCCGACGCTTTGAATCGCAACGAAAACAACTCCTATAAATCAGGCCGCGTTAAATTGCAATCTCGGGGCGAGCAGTCGCGCATCGGCCTTATTCCCGGGGCGCATACAAATCAAACCCGATCCCGCGTCATAAAAGCGCCGGGCGGAAAAGAAAACCTCATTTAAAATCATATTAAAAAAGGGGAGGCCGTGCCGACCACAACTTCGCCGAGGTGATGGTATGTTCGGCGACCGTATAAGTACACCTTTTCAAAAGCCGTGGTGTCGGAGATAAATATTCCTGTGTATTAAAAAATCGATGATCGACGTTATTCTATGAGGGAGTTACTGATTCCGATCATCAAGTCTGAGGGTTTCGGACTCCAATTTTGGGCGCCTTTCTCCAGCATCTGCTTGCATAAATGGCGATTTTTTGCACATGGTCTCGTTACTTCAAAGTTTACTATGTTCTGTTATCCATACCAGTGTTGTCTTATTACGGCACCCTAACTACCTCTTGGCAGTTTCTTAGTCTTTAAGGCGCACTGGGGTGATTTTAATGCCTTCCGTGCCGCCTGACTTGCGATTAATGCTTTAACTTCTTTTCATAAAATCAACTAACTCTCTTTAGTTTGGTAAATAAATATATAAATAACAAATAACTTTATTTTAAGACTAACACCAGAAGACCCTTTAAAATATACCTAAAAGGTCCTTTGCAAAAGCTCCAACTTTGTCCAACCGCATTACCGGAAATTCCTAATTACTGTATTATATTTACCGGAAAATATTCACAACAGATAATAAAAGTAAATTTTACTTCAGTCTGAATGTTATTGTTTACTCACGTCTTCTAGGTACTTTGTCAATTCATAATTTCAATTATGTCTCGCCTGTCCGATTTTAATTTGTTTACTAATGAATATTAGGACTTTCCGAAATTAAAATATATAATCTCATTAGGTATGTCCAAACATGTTTTTAAAAAAGCTGAGGTTACTTAAACCCATAATTCATTATTATAATAAGACAAAGTATATTTTAGGTGTTTTCCGCACAGGTTACCTGCTTTCCGGCACCCTTGCGCGATCACGTGCTCTTCCGCTGGGTATATCCTGGAGTATGTGCCAAAATCGATTGATAATTCCGTCATGTGGGGCTCCCCATAGATGAGGTCAATCCTGCACTGAGCTCACTCATTGCGCATAGTTGAATGAGCGCTTTTTGGACAACGCACGACTAGTTTGAATTCTTCTTCTTATTCGGCATTTTCCTTTACGAGTTCGCCGTATTTATCCTCCACATTTCTCCTACATTCCAGCCCCTACTCTCAGATCTCTATCAACCATCGCATGTCCAATATATGTCTCCCATTTCCTTGTTATCGAGCATTCTATTCCCATTCGTTACCGAAGTTCTGCAGGTCTTATTTTTTCAGTTCTTGTGACTTGTAGTCATCTTCTCATGCAGTCCAATTCGACCGTTCTTATTTTGTTTCTTACCGTTGTTGTCATTTGTCATACTCTGCTCCATATAAGGTGAAATTTTGTATTATGCTTTAGAAGATTCGTTTTTGTTTTCTTTAGTAAGAGTATTGTTCCATATCAGTCCATGAAGTGGCTTGTTTTTGTCTCTGTATCTCTTAAACATGTATTAAATAGGTATATTTGTTTGGAACACTCCCCACTCTTATACCATCTCTTTAAAGCTTGTTGTATATAAATATTAAAAAGTCTGGGCGATAGGCCGCATTCTTGCTTTAGTCCTTTTCATAGCTTCCCATATTTGTTTCCTGGGTACACCCGCATTCTTGCTTTAGTCCTTTTCATAGCTTCTCATATTTGTTTCCTGGGTACACCATCAAAGACTTTTTTTAAGTCAATGAATGTCATATGTGTTTTAATGTTCTTGGCTTTTCTATGACTTGTCTCATTATAAACGTATTGTCCAGGCATGATTTACTTTTCCGAAATTCTGATTGTTCTTCGCTTAAATCATCCATGTGTTGTTGGGGATGACACTAATTCCTCTATAATTGTTGGTTGAGTTCCTATTTCCTGTTATATATAGAAGGCATGCATGACAAATTTCATTCTCTCGGAATTCCTTCTCCTTTTTCAATTTTATTAAATAATACTTGAATGAAAGGTGCGACCCTTCTCCTAATGTAATATTATATAACCAACATATAATAAATGTAATCTATATAAATAGTAGATCTATTATTACCTTTTTCCCGAAGGAGTGCGGTCTCTGGCGTCCCGCGGGATATATAGACCCGTCCGATTGTCTGATCCGAAGAAAACGAAAGGAAGGAAGGAAAAAAAGGACGAAACGGAAATATTCATTCGACGCGGCACATAAGTTTCGGATGAATCAATAAGGCGGACGACCGTGAGGCGAGCGGCGGCGGCGGTGGCAGGGGGGCGGTGACATAAAACGCGGGGTTTTATTAGGCTTTCCGCGAAACCGCCACGGAATAGCAACGAGATAGATCCCGTCGACGTCTCTCCGACGTTCCGACGTTATTACCGCGCCATTACGTTATTACACGTTTTGTATAGGAAACTCGGATCACGTCCGCCACTTTGTGGTTACAAATACGACGCGAGTGATACCCTAGGGCGAAATTATATTATTCCGACCTTGGAGAGTAGAAAAAAAAACAGTTAAGGGTAAACAAAAAACGATAACGTAAAAAATGCCAATGAAATCATCAACAAGGCAAAACTGGAAAAGGAAAAAAGAGAGACAAGCGAGGTAAAAACAAAGCAAAACCTTCAAAATCCACATGAAAAACTGGGAACAACCAATTCAAAAGACCGAAACACCAAAAAAAAAAAAGAAAGAGATCAGCAATGAATCCTGAAGGGTACCTGAGAGGTTAATTCGAGTACCACTCAAAATCCGTTTAAATTACCACTAATTTCAACTAATTACCACTGCAACGATGTTGCTTATATTAAAAAAAATACCGGAAGTACAGAAAACTTTTTAAAGATAACTAGAGGAAAAATAATATCAAAGTTCCAACACATTTACTTAAGTGCCATCGAAAATAAACTTACATCAATCCTATTACTCCACTACTCTGGATAAAAACACTCGCTTTATAAAAAACTTCGGGCTAGCAAACTATATACAAGTTGGAGAAACGGGACATAATATCCGCTCGTTTGAATTATAATACACCAAATATAATTATAAACCCTGTTTGAATATCAACTCTACGGAGCGGTAATATCACACAGTTTATTACTTATTACGAATATTTCCACTAATTACAATTACAAATTTCCTAAATTACCTAACATTACCACCACAATTCCCGTGGCCAGTGATTAACACCAGATTTCCACTAATTTCCAATCATTACCACTAGTTTTCCTTAAATTTACTATGTACACAAAATGACAACAAATAAAACCTCCTCGATGACTTCGCGTCACCGTTCTCCGCATCTAAAAAAACCAAAAAGTGAACTTCAAACCCCGTTCTCTTCAAAATTAACTACTCCCCCTTATCGCTACCCCATTTTCCTCCAACGCGCCGCATTAGCAAATGCCCTAGCAGCTTTTAAAAGTTTCCGAAATCACCGACACCATTTGCGAACGAAAAATAAAAAAGTACCCTCGCCCGTGTCAGAAACTTTAACGCCATATTAACAGCGAGAAAAACGGAGAGCATCAACAAGAACGAACTGCAGACCATTAATTGCGCCAGTTTAAATTACCCGTTATTCATTTTCGCGTGCACCGGGGGTGTGGCGCAAAAAGATAGGTCACCATTGTTGCCCTGGACGTATTCGAAACCGTGTTTGCGCTACCGGAAGAGGCGATATAATTGACCCCTCTAACTAGTGTACAGCTTGTTCGGGTGGCGACGACTTGCATGTGCGGGAGGGGAACTAGACGGCCTGTTGCCGTCAGATCCCCCATATATTTATTTATTTCAACGGTTATATCATTTTACATATAAAAGGAGAGTCAATAATACCATCCATTACCCTAAAAATAAAACACAAGTCTGTTAAGATTCTCCAGGTTGTCCACCTACCTCACTCCATCTTGCCGCATCCTGTACTTAAGATAAAGATAAATTTATTCTGTACAACCAGAGACCAGATCGTTGGTCTATAAATACATTCCAAGTTTTGAAAATCACAGTACCAGGAAGATACGCTCTAGATGCAGATGAAAGAGTATTATAACACAAGTCCTTCACGACATCCACTCTGTTCAACACACTCTCTGCTATTCTGGACGAGCAGTTACCATCAGCTAAAGGAGTTGCTGACGTATAGGAGGAGCGGCATTCTGGACGCCCTCTAGAGCGGTCTGGGGGCACAACGGGCCCATCTGGTGGCCTATGTGCTTGGCGCCCCCCTTTAATACTAATACCAATACCACCAGCATTCATACCACAAGAAAAACACACTTTGCAGCATTGAATTTTAAATTGTTAATCCTATACCACTCCACCAAGAAGTTTATGTCTTTAGAGCATCAATTAATGTTGGTTACTCTCGCTAAAACTCGAGAACGGCAGAGCGGATTTATCTTCTCTTGGTCTTGAAATCTTCGTGGAGGTCTAGGGAAGGTTTAAAAGGTGAGAAAAATTATAATAATTGCCGGAAAACCCCTAAAAACAGCCTTTTACTTTTTCATATCATATCTATCGAAATAGTCTTTGCGTGCGCATTGAAGGATCTAATTTCGCGTTCCGAAAATCAACAACAGTGATAATATAGCGAAAGCGACCAGATTGTATAGTCACAAAATGTATTAGATCATTAGTAGTACTGATTTTCAATTTGGTCGGCTTCAAGAAATTTAATTTTATCTAACTTCAGTTGTTGACCTATCAGATTATTTTGTTTTATAGATTGATAAATATTTGTGACAAATTAAAACCATAATATTTGACATTTTTATTAACTATAATATACGATGCCGAGGATAAGACGACCTGACTTAGGTCATCGCAGTTAATCAAATGTACGAAGAGCTAGAGAGAGACAGATCAAGAAAATAATCGCATTCTTATGTCAGAATTGCGTTACTTAGTGAGTGACAATGAAGTGGACAAACTTAGAAAAAGATGTCGAAGATCTCAATGCGACCATTCATAATTTTCTTCATGTTGGTTACCTTCAAGTCAGTCGACACCGTTATGAACCAGGATGACGTAGTCAACTATCCCACGGAGTTTTTAAATTCACTGGAATTGTCTGGATTACCATCTCACAATTTGCAGTTAAAAGTAGGATCAGTTGTCATTATGCTGCGTAACATTGAACAACCTCGACTGTGGAGGTAGTTGGACTCAACTGCCTCCCTTGCCGTTCACATGAGACTCCTGAGGCACACCTGATATTACATTTATTATACAGAGGAGAGAAACCCATTCACCTTGACCTGTCGAGTACGATATTGTGGATAACACAAGGAGCCCCTAATATCAGATACGGTAAGCTGATGGAAAAAACAACTTCTGCAAAAACGATAGTCGGCACGATATCTATCGACCGTCTCTGCCGCTACAACCGGAAGTCATCTGCGGCGTTTGTGTGTGGGGGGTTAGGGGAGGGGGGGTTGCGTGGGCGAGTTATGGATCCGACACGGACGTTTTCCGCTGAGTAATGGACTACACGGTCCGCGTAATGGACTCCGTATTCCTGTCATGCTCAGTGTTATTCATACGACGCGACGCGCCACGAACACGATGGACCAAATTCTCCTTCTCCTCCCTTACATCTGCACCCAACCTAAGATCCTCCACGAGCCCCGGGTAAATTCTAATTACGTTTTTCGGGAAACTAATTAGGCGGGACTTAAGGGGGGAAGCGCTCCGATTCCCAACGGAAAATAGCGTCCGCTCGGGGGGTGACGCTCGTCATTTCTTGGTCGGGTGTAAAGTTTCATACACGCTACTATCGATCGGAGGGATATTCAGTCTGGTGGTGTAGAATTTAGGATTGTGACTGGACTTGCTCTATGTCCTCGCACATCAGATCCTCAGGTCTAAGGATTTCGGACCTCAGTTTTGAGTATCTCATTCTTCCAACCATCGGGCATCTGCATGGTATGTGCTCTGCCTATATTTGAGGCCGCAGTGCTGCAGTGTTCTTTGCTCTTTTCCTCGCTAGAAGATTGATTTTTTCGTATCTACAACGTACGTTACAACCTTGGTGACGCACTAGCTGCTTCCTTTCCAGCATCATTGCGCGGATCTCTATCGCGCTTGGAATATTGGATTGATAGTTCCGTCCTTTAGTGCTCCCCTTAAATGCCCTATCACCTCTCCACGTGTTTTGGAACGGTCAGTGTCCCATGAGGTCAGTCTTAGTCTGAGACCACACATCCTTGCTTTATGTGCCTGCCATGCTGTGGCTTAACGCAGCATCCAGCAATTAGCTACGCCGTTTGAAAAAGTCTATACGCAGCCTATATCGTCCTTCCTTCTCAACCAGGTGTTTTAAAGTCAGCAAACCATCCGCAAATAGTAATCCCCCCGATGATTTACCACCACCAACTCATTCCCAAATTTGATTGAGCGGCTCCAATAAACCGCTCCCGGATAAGACGGGTTTCGGAAATCTGGAGTTTCTTCGGAATTATCATTAACTAAACGGGATGGGGTGGGCGTACGTGAGCGCCGAACCGGTCACGAACGGAGGATCGGGGGAAGAATTTGACGAACAAGCCAGGGGGCAGGGAGTTCGGGCAATAAATCCCTACGACCGGTTATTTTAAATGTCGATCGACCCCCACACGCCTCCGGCAGCAGATATTTTTCACGCCGTGGAAATGACGGGTTGTCTCGCGGTCCGCAATTTTCTTAACGAGGCCCGTCGATTTAATTTAGATGGATCGGGGGCGATAAAAAAGCGCGATTCCAATTACCCGATTCGTGGGAAAACTAGCAGCGGCGAGGAAAAATTGAGCGGTGACGCGCCCCTGAGAACTTATTCCGTCGACAGTGGCCTGCCATGCGAGTCCTCGTCATAGTTCTGCTAGTCCTCGGAGGAGGAGCCGCGTCGAAGAAGCTCCTCGAGGCGGTGAACGTATTCGTTTGGAACGCGTCCTCGGAGAACTTCCTCACGCGGAAAAACGTGCCCATTTGGTACATGCCCGAATGCAAATCCAAAATCGAAACGGAACGTATTAGGGTCGGCGTCCATAGGGTGAGACGACGCGCTGGGAAATATATTAACCGGGCACGGGAACCTTTTGCAGATGCTGCCGTACGCGTCGCTGGGAGAGGGTGACCAGATAGGCGGATTCTTGGGCGATTTGTGGGAAATTATGCACCACTCTTTGGGGTTCAAGTAAGAAACGAAACATCCCCCGCGTCTAAAGCTGCTTTCTGCTCTTAGTTACACTGCGAGAGCGATCGACTACGATGACGGCCTCGCAGAGATCGAGAACGACGAAGTGGATGTATTTCTGACCGCCGCCGTTTACAAGGAAGGTCTCGACGTGCACTACCCTCAGCCGTACTTCTTAAACTGGTACGGTGGTCCATCGCTCATAGGTGTAGTGCAGTAGAACCTTGATTATCCGGGTCTGCCTGGACCGAGCCTTCGCTAGATAATCGAAAACATTGATAATCCAAATACCTCTTATTTCTTCATTCTTTGTTTCGATCATCGATCTGGGAACCGGAGCAAATTACCCCAAATGGGGTAAAAATGAAATTTTATGAGTAAAAACTATATATTTTTAATTTGTTATTTTTTAAACCTGTTTGCATTCACCCCCCACCACTAGAGTGTTCTCGAGTTAAAAGCACAGCCCCGGCTACCTGCTCGGTCTTCTCTAGCTTCTTTTTCAAGTTTAGCTTTGTTTTTGGAAGATTGCGAAAATATTACTTTTGCTGACATCAAGGATACAATTGTAAGACATCTTATCAAACTCAGAAAACGGTTTTCAGATTACTTTCCCGATCTTGATACACGTACTGTCAGTTTGATTGTAGATCCTTTTAAATGTGAAATTGCTATGATACCAGAAAAACCTTCAGGTTCGGCAGAAGCAACTATTGAATTTCGATCTAATGCTGAAGCACGTATTCAATTTGAGAGTAAACCCATTCTGTCGTCTTTTTGGATGTTAAAAGTTGCCATTTGGAACAGCATATTTATGCAAACAATGCTTTTCCACTCAAATGAACATAAAAAACAAAGAACAGAAATCGATTAAACGCCAAAGACTGTATTCAAATCGCTCTTACATCAAAAAGTCCCAATTTTGAAGCAACTGTATCGAACATGAAACAACATGATTTCCCCAAAAAGTGAAGGAAGAATGTTTTCAATTATTCTTTTTTTTTCTATTTTTTGTTTGTACCACCATTATTATTATTATTATTACTCGTTACAGTACCCTAAATTGTCAACTCTCAATTGAATATTTTCAATCCATAACCTTCATTCTATCATCAGTATCGTTTCCATCTGCTGTGTCATTCTTTCAAACTTAGACATTTCCAAAACCCCATAAACCACAAGTTTTCCCATCTCCATGAATATTCGCTAACCTGGTGCACTACTTTGTGAGCTTGGAGCCAGTGTTTTTTTTTTCGGAATTGCATTCCGGCAAAGTCCAGTTTCGTCACCAATATACCGTTACTCAGGTTTTACGTCGTGCACTCCTATAAATCAGTAAAATTCTACACTGAATTTCTACCCTTAAACAGCTACTTCTCGTATTTCGCAACGTTTTATTTTTTAATCTGTCTAGCTAACCCAAAGATACAAAGGAGTTTCCTTTTAATTTAAAAACTGCTCGTGAAACCTTCGGATTCGTCTAGCATACATATTGCTACCCCTTCAAATCATATTCCCTCTAGGTACCACCTCTACACGAAATGTCCACAAGGCAAACCCTCCTCGATGTCGTACCTGACGGTATTCTGCCCGAAATTGTGGTTCGCCACCGTCTACAACTTCCTGGCCATGGGGTCGATACTATGGCTAATGTGCGAGTGTTTGAAAAAAGTGCGCCTCCAAAGCAGGACCGTTTCGCCGCCGTCCTGCTTCCTGGCGACGATCTCCGGTTTCCTGGGACAATGTGAGTGTTCCGTGAAGCCGTGGAAACCCTCCACGTTCGTTTGTTTATAGGTTACGAGGTGCCGGTGAGCGCGCATTCGGCTCGTCTTCTCCTATTCACGTCCGCGCTAGTCGGCTATATCATCTACGTAGCCATAAACGCCACCCTGGTGGCCCGGCTGGCCGTGTTGGATGTCGAGTGGCCGTTCAAGGATATCGAGGAAATTGCCGCGAAGAAAACGCACCATCTCTGCGTGCGCAACAACAGTTTCGTGTACAACAATTTCACGGTAAGCGCGTCAAAAAATACAGAGTGTTATGTTAGCGACACCATAATCGCAACCCATCCTGATGCCGAATCGGTATTGCCAAATGATCGGTACCTATTTAGACTATTTACCTGATTCATGGGAACGTGGTTAAGGTACAAAACCAACCACAACTCACCCGACGTAATTTTTTTATGGATCTACTCCAAATATGGCTTAAAGTTGTCCGTAATCTGTTGCTCTACACTTATAGCACATTGCACAATAAACTGTTTATTCAACAGCAATAAAAATATCAGATAAGAGAATGGAATACTCTAAATTATCATATCGAACAAATAAAATGCATTTTTTGCAAGATTGACCCACACAGCTCGGAACAGTTATTAATTTTGGTTAGTTTATATCTGGCTAATGAATAAAATTAAGCCATCTTTGGTTACGTATTTAATTAAAACGTAATAATTAAAACGTCAGTGAAGTGAATTATTTTTACGAGGGACACATGCCACGCCATCTATGTTCTAAAAGGTTAAAGTTTTGGGGGTATCGAAGTCAACATATACGCAAGTCGGAGACGACACCGACATGGTACGTACACATGTTGTTCAACATTTCTTATAATGTAAAAAGAAGGATTGAAAGTTTTTGTGGCTGATGTAAACCAGTAAAATTCTTTTTAACTCGTCCTTTTTTGAAAATAGCAGTGGCGGATAAATGCTTTGCTGAAAACCGGAATAGCGAGTCACATTTTGAAATTTGGCTAGATGGACAACTGATCTGTTTAAAGTTATTGTTTGGTAGTGCATTTAATCAGGAATCGCTTGTCAGTTACAACATAGCAAGGGCGTTCCATCAAATTTGGACGTATTAAACCAACCATGAAAACATTTGTAAGGTTCATTCGGCATGCGCATGCGCGAAATTTACAATATGGTTTTTAACCACTCACAATAGATCGTCAATAAGTTTCGCAGTTTAAGGCACTACTTTCTCAAAATATCCCTAGATCCGGTTAAATGTTCTGGAAATACGATTAATGCTCAGAAAGAAAACTTCACAGGTTAGTGAGTGAAATGTAGAGAAAATTATAACCATCCCTGCTACACTGCAGCTGCAACTAAAGAAATTATTTTGCGATCAGCAAAGCCCTTATTTAATTCGGAATCCTCTGTAGTAATTTTATATTAAATAATCAAATCGCTTAGTATGTTTTTCTTCTATTCTTTTGTATTTGGGCACGTTAGTTAACTGGTGCCGATATACTGGTAATACTAATACCGAAAAAAAAATTGAAGTCTTTCGTTTTCTTCATTAATCCTGTATAGTTTTCCATTGGAGATTTTTTCCCATGGACAATATTCTAAAGGCCATTGAACAAAAGTGTTTCAGTTTAACCCATATTATCCCAAGCATAAAAAAAATAAAAAATACTTTTTTTCTCTGAAATTATTTATTTTGTTGCACTTACATGTTGTACTTACCACTGGGAAAAAACATTAAATAATGTTTTGGGGCACATAAGATGTAAAATTTAATTTATACATCAATATACAAAATAAAGTTCAAATTCGACAGAAAACAACTAGAAGTGTATTGTTTTCCAAATAGACCCTGATTTGATACATAATATTTTATGGTGCGTGAGCCGGTTTCATTTTTGGTGATGTTTTACAAAGGATGAAGTATGTAAATGCACATTACACTTATTACAAACGTAAATTGTGTGGCTGTGGCAAATTCTACCTCTCCTTCGGGCTTTATTAGCACGAACAATCATGAGGTATCATGAGGTGACCTTGATTATCATAACGCACTTCATTTACGGCAGGTGCAAGATCTTTGAGTTATTGTTTTATCAGTTTTTAAAAGTCGTAAAGCAACGTAGGATTTAAAATCAAATCAATCACTTCGTCATCAAAAAACAAAATTATTTCAAGAAGAGTTTTTCCAGAAAGCCTGTCGTTAGCAGAAAGCATACGTCTTCTTTTGAATTCCAGGGTTTAGTCATCTGAGGAGTCCCATTCGGGTTCAGTAGTTGATGAATTACAGGACTATTGAAGGACAGCTGTATCATTCGGTGTATGTAACTAGAAAGTTTCAACTATATCAGTTGGTTCCCCAAACTCTTGTAGATTTATGTTATCGTTCATATCTTCTTCGCCAGTCAAGGTATCCACATCGGGTGGAATATAGATCGCGGAATGCAATGTTACAATACATAAGAATACGTAAATCCAAATAATACTTACGACTTTCTTGTTATTGTTCTTATCCATCACGATCTCTTCCATAGACGCCTCTAATTAATTTTGAGTCAAATGCCTCGGAAATGCCATATTTTACGCACTGTAACGTTCACTGCACAAGGCACAAACTAATACTAAAGAACACACTAATTGTTGGATGTTCATTCTACATGCGACTTGTCTAGACTTGCAATAACAAAGTTTTGTTTCACAGATAAAACCAGTGGTGCACTCACTCACCAGTAAATATTTTCAAAAAATAAAGCATAATCAATATAGTACGTGCTATAGACTTAACAAAAAAGGGCAACACAGATCCAAAATATTTGTTTTTACTATTTTGGATTTACTTGAAAATGTGATACAAATTTATGTACCGCTTTCGTTAACTTTTGAAGTCATATATAAGATCTTTCCTTTACATATAAATAAGTCATTTCTACCGTTCCGTGTCCTTTAGTAGTGATAATAATAAAATTTAGGTGGTGCATTAACGCACCACTGAGACAAAATGCTGCTGTATGGGTGAAATTATATTGTTTAGAAATAAAATACGATTATTCATTGGAGAAGGGGTAGGTCAATTCCTTCAATTGACACAAGTAACGGGGATTTAATATTGAGGTAAATATGCACCAAATCAGGACAACAGTTCACCCTTTATAGTGCTAGTAGACAACATATTGAGTGGGATTCTCATATTTGAGATTCGTAAATTATATAACGTCATATAACCCTTGTACGTATCACGAGGCAGGACCCCGACCAAAACCTACTGCCCAAATGGCAGGGAATAGTCAACGGTCCGCGTTGCCTGGACATCGGCAACAAAAACAACATAGTTAAGGTCATCTGCGACGACGACGTCGTCGTCCTCGAGAGCGTCGTCATGATGGCGGCGGTGCTGCGCAAAGAGTTACCCTGCTGCGTGTCACACCTGCCAACTAGGTACTTCAAATCTGGGAACTACTTCGTAATGAGTAACTCGTTCCAGGGCAAGTTCGTCATAAACAGAGAGTGAGTGATTATACACTATACACGTATTCTGTGATCCAAAATAAGGATAAAACTTCATATAAACTAGGGTCCAGAACGCCTTAGTTTTTAACATACAGAGAGTTAAATTTGAAGAGGTGATGGCGATATTTTGCAATTATTTTCGAAACACGTAAATATTTTTAAATAAAATTTGGTACAGTTACTAAACTTTTTGGGCTCTATTTTGGATTGTCTTCAGGGGCGGCGTGGGAAAAATTTGCCCCAAATTTTCTGTTTTTCGTAATTTGCAATTCAGAATTTCAAAACACAATGTTTTTGAAAAAATTTCTTTTGAAAATTTAATTACAAATTATTTTTTTTATTTTAATGTTTACAATCGAGGTGCAGATATAATCATTAGTAAGCCTTGGAAGAAAATAAATGTCAATTATTCGACGGCTTTCAAGCGCTGCTTAATAAATGAGTGAGATAAAAAGTTTACCCAACGTGTAGCATACTATACTTTTTGTACGACCGTTAGTTTGTGGGTACAATTTCGCAAAACAACACGAATACATTCACTGTCATGACTGTCAGAATAGACAAACGTCAAAATTCAAAGTGTGGGAAATACCTCCGAAAACATCCGATTGCTCCCAAATCCGTACGGTAAAATCTCGGAAGGCTCGGATTCATGGGAAACGAAACTGACGTGGTAAAGTGACGCTTCCCGCACGCTAGATCGGTGGGTAATTAGGTATTTTACAGACGGGAGTAGAAAAAAAAGGTTTGCCGAACACGTTGCATACTATACTTTTTCTACTCCCGTCTGTAAAATGCCTAATCACACAACGAACTATAGCGCGGGAAGCGACATTTTACCAGGTTACTTTCGTTTCCCACGGATCCGAGCCACTTCGGACATTTCTGGGATTTTACCGCACGGGTTTGGGAGCAATCGGATGTTTTCGGAGATATTTCCCATGCTTTGAATTTTGATGTTTGTCAAATTCTGACGGCCATGTCAGTAAATGTATTCGTGTTGTTTTGCGAAAATGTACCCAAAAACTAATGAAAAACGTAGAAAAAGTATAGTATGCAACACGTTCGGTAAACTTTTTGAGTCCCTCGCTACGCTCCGCTCGTGTCAAATAAACTCGTGAGCGACGTTTACTGCACTTGTTGCATAAATGCTTGGATTGTTCTTATAAATCCTTCTATTAACGAAAGACAAATCAAACTATCAACCGTAAAGCTAATTATTCTAATAAAAGGATTTATGAGAAAAATCCAAGCAAAAACTATTTTTTACCAACAATGAACAACAAAAACGCGTCATTAACTTCCAAAGCTTACTAATGGTTATCGGCACCTCAACTAACCAAAACTAACCATTAAAATAAAAAAAATGTAAGCGAGGCGCGACGAGGGTACCTTTTTTAAGTAGAAAACTCCAGATTTTCCAGATTCCACAGTCCAAATTATGAAAATTTGACAAACAAAAAAATTAAGGCAAATTTTTACTCACCCCTGAAGATAATCCAAGTTTTAGTTTTTATTTAAAAATACTTACGTGTCTGGAAAATATTTACAAAAAATTGCCATCACCTCTTCAAATTTAACATCCTGTACGTAAAAAACTAAGACGTTTTCTACCGTTTGTTTTGTTTTGGGTCCACAGAACACGTGGTTAAATTTTCGGGATACCCTGTATAAAAAACTCCGTTTTAGGTTGACAGCTCTCCGGTCCAGTGGCGTGCTCGAGATACTCCTCAACAAATGGGTGAGGGTTTTCAAAGAGACCAAGACGGCGCTTTCGTACCAGGCGACCCTCGACCACGTGTCGGGGTTGCTGATCACGTACGCGATTTTGATCGGGACCAGCCTGATCGTTCTCGGACTCGAGATACTCTGTCGTAGGTGGGGAGCGCGGTCGCGGGGGGTGGGGGGAGAGGGATGGAGGCGGGAGGTTTATGTCGGCAGATAAGTGACGTATTATGTAAATAAATGTGAACTAAAAGTTCAAATTTTCACGAAATTATATATATTCACATGACAATTGTTTCGACAACACCGTGTCTTTATCAAATGTATTATTTACAAACTACCTGCTACTATTTATACGTGTAGATCTCCCAGAATATATTTCAAAAACAAACCAGAACTTTTCCAATGTATCAAACACGATCCTACCGAGTTATATCAAAGACAAGTCAAGGAAATAATTACTAAGTCCACACTATTTAGCGACAAAGACAGGTATTCATTAACAATTATGAATCCACAACCACTGAAATTAAATTCTTTATTTAAATTACATAAACAAGATATACCCATTAGACCAGTCGTGTGTTACGTAACGGCTCCAGCAGTTAAACTCTCAACAAAATTAGTAAACATTTTAAAGTTGCATACAGATTTTAAACCAAAATTTGCAATAAAAATTAAAAATATCAAAATCCCTTCTAAGGCAACACTATTGTATTTCGATGCACAAAACTTATTTCTCAGTATGCCACCTATGGATGTGATAAATTTAGTAGATTTTACCCTAACTTGGAAACAGGTTAGCCCATTGATGAAACAAGATTTATTAGATTGCTTAAAAGTTTCTTTAGACCAATATTATTTTGAATTTAATGGGCAGATTTACATCTCTAAGGAAAGTTTGATTATGGGAAACCCACTTAGTCCTTAATTAGAAGAGAATTTGTCGATAATTAGGAAACTATCATACAAGAACATCCTTTAAGTAAAACTTTTCTATGGTGGTATAGATACGTGGATGACGTCTTCGCTTGCTTTGTTGGAACGGAAATTCACTATCGAGATTGAACAGGATGACTCTATTAACTTTTTAGACTTAACTATTACGAAAACGCAAAACAAATTAGATTTTTCCATTTACCATAAACCTTCACATACGGACACAGTCATACATAACAGCTCAAATCACCCTTATGCACACAAAATGGCTGCATTTCACCCTTTTATACACAGACTTCTTAATATGCCACTCTCAACAGAAAATTACAACAAAGTTAATATCATTAAACAAATTGCACTGAACAACGGCTACAATCCGTGCATTATCGATAAAATTATAAATAAAAAACAAATCCAGACAGCAGTAAACTCTATTCATCCGAAATCTAATACAGAACACGAACAATTTAAAACAATTACATAGGAGAACCCAGTGAAAGTTTCAAAATATTTTTCAAAATGTGGTTTGAAAATAGCTTCCAGAACTAACAACACGATAGGAAATTTTTTAAAAAACAATAAAATGAAATGTCCAAAATCTAAAAAAATCAGGTGTCTACAGGTTGAAATGCGGATCATGTCCTAAAATTTATATTGGACACCAGGTGGATCATTCAAGAAACGCATTAACGAACATAAAAGAAATTTTAAAAACAATAGTGCTACACACTTCAAAACAGAAAAACACATTTTTTACGACAATTTTGATATTTTACATAAAGCCACAAAAAGTAGAAAATTAAATTTATTGGAAGCCATGGAGATTAACAAAATGAGACATTCAAATGTATTGCTTAACGATCAACTAGATTTAAATACCTCTCCATTATTAAACTTAAATTCTCACAACAACCTTAATTAAGGTTTTATTGTCATTTTTCGGTATATATAGTAGCAGGTAGTTTGTAAATATTACGTTTGATAAAGACACGGTGTTTTCGAAACAATTGCCATGTAAATATATATAATTTCTTGAAAATCTGAACTTTTAGTTCTTATTTATTCTGTTAAATGGATTTTCATTAAAGTAAAAGCCACCTCAGTTCAACGACGTTAATATCTGTTATTACCTGAAAACAGCTCGAGGAACTTCTCCACGCCGTAGTTGTTGGGGAACCGGTAGAGGGGGTCCTTCAGGGCTTCGACGGTGTGCACCTTTATGCGTTTCACCATGAAGGTGATGTTGTCCCGTTTGCCGTCTTGGTTGAAATCTGAAAAGCGGTTATAGAGCGTGAAAAATTAAACAGTTCCGGGACAAATAAGAATCTAATTCCGACGCTCTCTTACTGGCTTTAAAGTAAGTAAATGGAAGGCCCCGAGAAGCCCGCGGTGATAAATTGAGTGACGTTTCCGAAATTGCCCCTCCCCCTAGCCGGCCATAAATCCCGCTGCCGCCTCCGAGCGTAATAAGAACCGGGAATTTTCATAGTTTCCGTCAGCGGCGCGGAAATCCAATGGACCGTTTAGGCCTAGACATTCCATTAAGGCAATGGTGCAACATTGGCTTCATTTAAATAGGCACGGCGCGGAGACCGGTAGTTTTATTAAGGTGAAATCTTGCTAAGAAGTTTTAAATATTTCAACGATCGAAAAGTACAGCGCTGAACTTCAAACTACGCTGCAGAAATTATGTGCGTAATACTGAGATATCTTCACTCAGCGATTGAAAGCACTTTTGGAATTTTATCAATTCGAAATGATAATATGATAGTTTGTTCTAATCATAGATATAAGAAAGTGACTAACTGATACGAATTAAGGAAAGACCCGGGCAAGATGTAAGAATAAGATATGGCCGAACCGGTCCCGTACTTAGAATTTAATTATTTGGGGTGTTGTTAGGAAAGATACTAAACAATATTTATTTATTTATGTATGTATTTATGTTTAAATATAAAACAAAATTACATCATCACCTGTTCTAATTATTGTTTGTTCTATATTATTTGCAATATCGATATACGATTGTTCTGCTTTTCCTATATGTTTAACACAATTTGCCCAACTTTGTGGAGAGATGTTAAAAATTTCGGTTTCTATAAGTTTGAGGACATTGGAGTTAACAAGGGGAAAAACATTGTTACGACGAATGGCAGATTTCAGTTGGTGCAAAACATGTTCAGTGGAATTAAATATACAGTGGTAAGGCCTTAAAACTCTATGCCCTAGATTTTTTGCATAATTATCACAGACGTATTCCTTTTGTAGGTTCAAGCTTTGTAGAACCTCAATTAATTGCTTCTTGGTATAATCTTCGTGAAAATAAATGTCGTTATTATACATGTAGTTTTGGATTGTTGCTTTTGTGTCACATGAGGAAGCGGTCTTAGTCAACCGTCTACTGTGATAACTTGCATTGTCCATTACAATTACGCTATTAGGAGGAATGTTTGGAACTAGTTTGTTTTTAAACCAACCTTCAAATAAATCAGCGGTGGCGTCTTCGTGGTAATCCAGAGAAGAATCTTTAATATTTTTCGCAGACAGAGAAAGTCCATTTGGAATCCAACCATCTTTAGAGCAAGCATGCAAAATAGTTATTCTTTTACCTCTTTTTGATGGCGCGTTTGTTTTACACTTATCAGCTGAGCCAACCGAACCCTTTTCCAGGGTATCGTAAGTGTCGAACCAGCTTTCATCCAAGTAAATAATTGGCCTTTGTTGTTCTTTGTAAATCCTAATTTTTTCTAGATATTCCAGTTGCCATTTCCGAATTCTAAAAGATTCCATTAAAACTTGCCTTTTGTCATTTTTTTTAAATCTAAAACTCATGTGTTGAATACACTTCCATAAGGTAGTTCTGCCACATTTAACACCGATTTCATCTTTTTCAAGCCTCCTAATTAAGATATCTAATGTAGGCACGCTTTGTTCCTTGTTTAAATGGTAAATTTTACGCCGTATTATATCTTGATCACATCAGCGTCGCTTCTTTTTTTCCTCGCTGAAAAGGGATTATTCACAATTTTCTATACAGTTGATGTTGGAATTTTCGTTAATGTGTCCGTTTCTTCTAAAGATGCTTGCTTGCTGGCACCACGTTCAATGAGAGTCATATAAACATTGCTTATAACTTCCTTAGTCTCAATAGAATAGTGTTTTCTACATTTGGGCGTGAGCATCTCCAGAGATACACAAGACTCGCACATATTTTGCATAATTCGCATACGATTCAACACACGCTGTATTACACACGAAATAAGAATCATTACTAATAAACTTAAACCAAGTAGTATACCAAACCAAAGAATATTAAAGACAGGTAGGCATAAAATTATTTTCTATTACGAACCACAACTTTACCTGAATTTAAATTCCGAAACTTTAGGTAATAATCTTGTTGCATTCTATTTTAATGACCACCTTTCGATAATCCCATTTAAAAGCAATTGGTCACTTTCTTATATCTATGAACAGACCATACATACCATAGTTGTATTTCGATCATGTTGAAACAGAGACGGCAAAATTGTTTGACTAATACTAATGATGACAGTTATTCTATTACAATATTTGAAATCTTAATAGTCCGATAATTCAAAATAGGTCGGACCTGACCATCTTCATCGTACTTGGCAGTGGTTCTTTTGTGTTGACCAGGCACTTATACGAGGGCCACTTGAAAAATTTTCGACCTAACCACGATACAAAACATTTTTTCTATCTTTTTTATTTTCCTTCTTCTTATTGTCCTCCGAGCGCAGTTTCCACATCGAGGGAACGAAAAGTAGCCGCTTGAGGCTAAATCTGGTGAGTAGGGCGGATGGTCGAGCGGTTCGATCGGTAATTTGTGGTTTTCTTTTCTGTCCTCAAATTGTTTTTCCTTTCTGAAGGTAATTGACGACTATCCCAAAAAACAGTCGTCATCTCTTTCTTTAGCAATATTATCATCGGTAGTTACAGTTTTTGGACGTCCCGAACCGTTATCAATGTCTAAATTCAGCCACCCAAAATTTCACTGCGGTAAATGACGGTGTAGAGTCCCCATACACAGAGTCCGACTCAACTTTAATTGGGGTAGGCGTATTGCCTTTCAAGAACAAATGTTTTAACAGTTTCACACTCAATTTTTTCCCTTTTTCACAAAAACATTCACATCGACTCACTCAAACAAACCAGTCCAAAATAGCTGAAACTATCGTAAGTAGCTATCAAGAGGTCCACAACTACGATAACCAGCTTTTAGTAACTAGTGGGTGAGGTCGGAAACTTTTCATGTCACCCTCATATACTATTTTTAAGAATTCCTAAAAACAAACATTTGTTCTTGTGGTTCCTATTTACAAGGCGAGAGAGAAAACCAATGTGAAAAATTTCATTCTGATGAGAATGATTACACATGCATTCTTCGTGATAAACCTGCTGCTTGGTCCCAACTGCGAAGCACCTTACTGGTAAAACATAGATTGTACGAGTGCGCAACTTTTTTTTTACTCCCGTCTGTAAAATACCTAATTACACACTGATCTAGCGTGCGGCAGGGCGTCACTTTACCACATCAGTTTCGTTTCCCACGGATCCGAGACACTTCGGACATTTCCGGGAGCAATCGGATTGTTTCGAAGATTTTACCGTACACGGTTTGAATTTTGACGTTTGTTGTTTGGCGAAAATGTAACCAAAAACTAACGGTCGTAGAAAAAGTATAGTATGCAACACGTTCGGTAAACTTTTTAAGTCACTTGTTGCATAATATACTATTGGGTTGTTCGGAAAGTCATTTCGTTTTTTTTGGGGAACATGAAAGACAGTTTTCGTATAATGAATAAATATTTTATTAAATTATATATTGGCCATTCTGGTCCAACACCTTTTGCCATCTTTCTGGCAGTAACATAATTCCCCTCTCATAAAAGTTTTGGTCCTTGCTGGCAAAAAACTGGTTCAGGTGGTTTTTGACATCTTCATTTGAGGTAAAGGTTTTGCCATCCAAAAAATTTTGCAGGGACCGGAACAAATAGTAGTCGGAAGGCGCCAGTCTGGAGAATATGGTGGATGTTGCAGTACGTCCCATTCAAGCTGTAAAAGTTTTTGGCGAGTGACCAAACTTGTGTGAGGTCTCGCATTATCCTGGTGGAACACTACACCCTTCCTGTTGATTAATTCGGGCCTCTTCTCTTTAAGTGAATCATTCAATTTGTCCAGTTGATGACAATAAACTTCTGAATTAATCGTTGTATTGTCCCGCAAAAGCTCAAAAAAAACGATTCCTTTGACATCCCACCAAACGGAGAGCATCACCTTTTTTTGGTGAATGTTGGCTTTTGACACGCTTTGAGCCGGTTCATCTTTTCTGCTCCATGACCTCTTGCGTTTAACATTGTTGTATACAACCCATTTTTCGTCCCCAGTAATAATCCGCTTCAAAAATGGATCATTTTCTTGACGTTTGAGGAGCCAATCACACACGTCAACGCGACGACACAAATTTCGCTCTGTAAGGACATGGGGCACCCACACATCGAGCTTCGAGGTTAAGCCCATGCCTTTCAAATAGCCATAAACAGTCGAATTCGACAAATTTAATCTCTCACCGATCTCTCGTGTGGTTATTCGCCGATTTGCATCAACTAATGCCTTTATCGCATCTTTGTCAGCTTCGACCGGCCTTCCAGACCGTGGTGCATCTTCGACATCAAAATTGCCGGATCGAAATTTTGCAAACCAGTTCTGGCACTGGCGTACTGTTAACACGCCTTCTCCATACACATCCGTCAATTTTTTTCTCGCTTGGACAGCATTTTTACCTTTTCTGAAGTAAAAAAGTAAAAAATGCTTATTGCTCTCCATATTTAAAAGGGCACCAACCAAAAACTACTGCGTAGAATTAATAGAACTTTTTCACACACAAGCCTTGCAATATCAGCTCTCAAGACATATAATGGTTATGCGGCTTAAGTGTGAAGTTGGTTTCGAAAAAACGTAATTAAGTCCTCTGACGGGAAAAAACGAAATGACTTTCCGAACAATCTTATATTATTGTTCACTTGTTAAAAGCCATCTCGCATTTTGAGTTCTTCAACATTCGTTCGTTTGATGATGGTACCCACGTACACCACTTTAGTGATCTGGGCTTTTTTGCATTCAAAAAGTGTTCGTGCGACAGCTTAATCAACTCTGCTTCATCCGCTTTGATTTCATTTCAGCTCATGTTTTAGTATTAGTATTACCCTAACCTTGCTCTTTCTTGTAGATCATTTAGTTAAGCAGATGTATCTTGTACTCGATGTATTTACTTTAGTGTGTAAATCGATAAAATAAATAATAAATAAACAATGATAAATAACTTCTTCATCGATTTCCGCCAATAATGTGGCTCGAATCCCCCCGGTCCCCGAACAATGGAGTAAATTAATTGAAAGCCTGGCCGGCTCCCTCTCGAAGACCGAAAGTCCGCGCACAATCCAGTCGAACCACTCAAATCCCCCGACCAAGGAGCTTCATCGCGCGACGACAATACAATCGTTTTATTTCAAGGAAATTCTAATCGGGATTACGTTTACTTTGGCGCCGCGCCGCCAGCGTCTCAGATAGTCCGGGATTCGACACCAAAATCTCCACAAATATTTACTTCAGAGGAACCAAATATCGACTTTTAAATTCAATATCTTTTTCTTTTTAGAAACTACAGATCAGATAAAAAAAATGTTGTTTGAGAGACAATTTAGTATGATTTAATTCGATTTTAAATTTATTAAAGTTTATTTCGGCCTTTTTGGTTTTAAATATAATTTTTATATATATATTTTTTTAATAATGGGTATGACCCCCTTGTCCTAATAACATCTCTTACTCGATTAAGTATAGATATATGTATAAATCAAGTTCGCTATTGTTTCTTGTGGAATGTTAAGCCACCCTTGGGGCACGAAGTCTAGCTCGAATTCTCCATTTTAACTCATCCCATAAATGTTCGATCGGATTGAAGTCGGGACTGCATGTTGGCCACTCCATAACTCGAAAACTGTAATGTAATCTTGCACGATCCGTGTAGCGAAACGTCAGCAAGTTCGATTTGTCGACAATTTATTTATTTTATTTATTTTAGCACTTGGCTATTTACATAAGCAAGTAAAATTTGCATAAACAAAACTATAAACTTCGCAAATACCCCGTAAGTCTTTTCTTGAACACTCTTGGGCAAGGCGCGCCCTTAATATTATCCGGCATTTCATTAAAATTACAAACACCATCGTAGAATAGAGTTTTCTGTAAATTTGTTGTTTTTACCATAGAAACATTGAAGTGCTGATTGGAACATATATTATATTGATAAAAGTTTGACCTTTTTTCCAACCATAATTTAAGATAGCCTGGTTGCTGATCGTGCGCAATTTCATAAACCAACATTAAACTTGCTCTTCTAATGAACTGCCCGACAGGAGTATATCTATCACAGTTCAGGATGATTCTCATAACCCTATTTTGTTGTAACTGTAACTTATTTAAATCTTCTTTTGTACAAGATATAAGCAATGAACAAACATATGAAAAATGAGGAAAAATTATACTATTATTCTAATATCCTAGTCTACTGCGATAAAAACCGCGATACCGGCTAGATATTCAACATGATTACTAAAGCATAATTGTGGATCCAAGATCACCCCTAAATATTTAATTTCGGAAACAAACTCAATTTTATAACGCTGTATATCCACAGTACGTGTACGGTAGTATGTGCAATTTTTCGTGAAAAATATATTTTTATTTTTAAATATAATCGCAAAACAATTTGGGATTGGATTGGAATGGGCGACTGGCTTCTGGTACGATTTTCACGCGCTCGTGGTCAATCTATTAAAGAAACTTGAAAAACAACTTGAAAGTACGTCAATACAAATACAAAAAATTGGCACCTCAGTCAGAAATGTGGACGAAAAACAATCACTTCACTTAAAATAACTTACAACTGTCGTCAGTTCAGCTGTTTTAGGCATGAACACTGAATCCAACATAAACAGTTAGGACATTTGTTTGAATGTTTAGTTATTTACGGTGTTGGAAATAAACAAAAACTAATCAAATCTGACCAAAACTGCCACAAGCTAGTCAAGAGAAGCTACCTCTTGGTTAGTTTTGGTATGTATTTGCTCCTTTTCTACCTATACTAGAACACCAAGCTGAAATTGGCACCTCAGTCAGAAACGTGGACGAAAAACAATCACTTCACTTAAAATAATTTACAACTGTCGTCAGTTCAGCGGTTTTAGTCATGAATAGTGAATCGAACATAAACAGGAAAGTTTTTGAGGACATTTGTTTTAATATTCAGTTATTTATGGTGTTGGAAATAAACACAAACTAATGAAATCTGACCAAAACTAGTCAGGAGAAGGTACCTTTTGGTGAGTTTTGGTATGTATTTGCTCCTTTTTTCTACTTATACTAGAACTCCAAGATGAAATTGGCACCTCAGTCAGAAATGTGGACGAAAAACAATCACACCACTTAAAATAACTTACAACTGTCATCAGTTCAGCTGTTTAAGGCATGAATATTGAATCCAACATAAACAGTTAGGACATTTGTTTTAATGTTTAGTTATTTACGGTGTTGGAAATAAACAAAAACTAATGAAATCTGACCAAAACTGCCAGAAGCTAATCAGGAGAAGCTACCTTTTGGTTAGTTTTGGTTTGTATTTCCTCGTTTTCTATTTATACTAGACAACTGTCGTCAGTTCCTATCAGTAATGAATATTGAATGCAACATGCAGTTACTAAAGTTTTTGTAGGACATTTGTTTTAATGTTTAGTTATTTACGGTGTTGGAAATAAACAAAAACTTAACAAATCTGACCAAAACTGCCACAAGCTAATCAGTTAGTTTTGCAAAATACTACACTACACCAAGTTGAAAATGTCACCTTAGTCAGAAATGTTGACGACAACCATATATTAAGTACCATCTGACATCGTCGCGAGACTTGTGGTAGTTCAAATATCCCCGAAGAAGCACTCACCGGTGTTCCTGTAAATCGCGTTGACCCGCTGGACGTGCCGCGTCATCACCTCAATACAAGCCTCCTCGGTGCCGTACTTCTGAAAGAACTGGTGGTCCGCCTGCAGGTAGAGCATGCAGGTGGTTTTCTTGGGGTCGACGGTCGCCCTCTTGTAGATGTTCTTGAACACCAAGGCGGAAGCGTCCACAATCGTCCGGTTTCCGATCTCGAGCTCCTCGTCGATCTGCTGCTGGTTGATGTCGAACGTCGTGATGATCGGCCTCCGTGTGCGGTTCGGAAACGGCCCGATGTCTTCGTCGTAGGGCAGCTTCGCCTCCGCCTGGAGCAGCCACCTTTTGACGCGGTTCTCTGTGACGCGCCGCTCGTGTAAACGGTGCGACGCGCATGGCGCGCCCTCTCTCGGATCATCCACGTCCGACGCTTTGTATATTATGGAATGGAATCTAGGCTCGGTATCTAGGTTGAGCCCCAGGTACCTGCTAATCGGTTCTATGTGGTATTCCTCCGAGGGAGTCGTCACCGTGCCCTCGAACAGCCCGTCGGCAGTGATGATACCGTGGACGATGGCTTCGTCGTCGTCTGAAACCAAAATTTTTATAATACGACCAAAAATATAGGGCGTTTTTTTGCTTTGATGTTTTAAATATTTTACAGTGCCTTAACCCGTCCCAACAGATGTTTATTATGTCTTGCCTGAAATTGTCTGTAACGAATATTTGAAGAAACTTGAAATTCTTTGAAACGTAACAAAAGCAAAAGAAAGTTGTTCGTTTGATTGCCGGTGCAGGTTATCTGGAGCACTGTCGACCAATTTTTAAGAAGTTGGAAATTATGCCTCTTCCTTGTCTGTATATTTAGTATCAATTACAAAGAAATACACAAATACAGAAATACACAAAAACATAGACAGCTTCAGTTCAAACTCCTCTTACCATGACCAAATATACCAAAAGTAAAAAAAAACCCAAACAATGTAAAAGTTCTAAGTAATAAAAAAAAATCTTAACCTTTCTTAAAAGGCACTGCTTTTACTCGATCGGGAAATAGGATGAAAAACATGGAAAACGCATAATAATTCTTCGTGCTGGATCTGAAAATGGTTTAGTGGATGATGTCTTATTGTTGTCTGCTAAAAACGTCAAACAGACAAATGTGGATTACCATGAAAACATACGGAAATATTTGAGGACTAAGTTCAAAATAAACTGTTGCCAAAACTATCGAAAAACACTGTTATTGTGTTGGATAATGCCTTTGTATCATTCAGAAAAAATTAGAAAAACTTCAAATACTTCTTCAAATAAAGAAGAAATTAAAGAATTTCTGTACCAAAATGATTTACATTTTGAAGAGAGCTACTCGAAAAAACAACTTCTGGAACTAATAAAAATAAAACACTTTGAGATTACCCTCGTATCATTGTATATTTAACCCGATTGAGATGATTTAGTCTGAGTTGACAGGGCATATAACAAAATTGCTTTCGAAAAATCGTCACTGGGCGAGGCAAGTTCGTAGCGCGTAGCGCGAAGCAGCTTTTTATTATAAAATTAAAGAGGTTCGCGGTTTCGTGTGGTAAAGGGACGCATTGTTTTTCTATGGTGCTCCTGAGAAGCCCTACGGCATTTTCGGAAAATCGATGTAATTTAATTGTGCATGCACCCTGTATAAAATGTCCTTCACATCTCGTCGAACTTCAAAGTTGCAGCAAACATCGGTAAATATTAAAATTTGCACAAATAACAGCGTTGTCGAATGAAACTCTCTCACGACACGCTTTACGATAATGTTCAAATAAAATTATCCCATCTTTAACGGTTTTTCATTTATTGCCAATAATTTACCCAGAGAAACGGAAATTTTTAGGATATTTTAGATTTTTGCCCATAAACGACACACCCTGTATATGATACAACCATTTTTCACGTTTCCTGGTTCAAGAATTTTTGGAAAATAGTAAATAGTTTTCGAGAAAATAAGTTTTTTCTGAAACCATGCAGTGCGCCGTAATAATCAATGACGTCATCGCGTCTTGACAGTGCCCGAAATAACGATTTCAATATGGATTTTTTCAAATATCCTGAGCAGCGTATGTGATAGACGAAAACTGCAAATACAAAAATTGTAGGTCTTCATGCGGCCTATGACAACGTTTGAACCAATTAGCCATATTTGAAAAAAACAATTTTCTAAGTCTTTCAGATTTTCACCTATAATTTGAAAATCCTGTATATAATCGAAAAAATGCCCGAAATAAATGTTATTGCAGTGAATCTTCTGCGTCTGCCGATAAAAGAATCTTGCCAATCGGATGAACGATTATGGAGGAAAACATTCTTTCGGAAGCTCAAATTTCCAAAAAAAAATTTTCAAAATTGGATTGCGCCCAATTTCTACCGCTTAAATGTGCAGATTTAGGACACACACATTTTTCATTTAGCACGGAATATCGGGAACACCCTGTACAATAGGTGAAAACCATAAATATAAAAGTTTTTGCCGCCTATGCGGGTTATATCACAATATAAAAGAAAGTGAGATCTGAATCATAGTCTTTCAGTTATAACCAATAGTAGGGGGACCCATTTTTCAGTTTTTTTGAATTTGCGGCGCACCCTGTATATTTTTGAAAAATTGTCAAGAATAAAAGTTTATAGAGCCGCATCTTCTGCTTCTTCTGGTTAAAGAATTTTTTTGGTCTCGTAAATAGTTTTTGAAAAATAATGTTTTTTGCAAACCCTTGCACACGCGATTTTTTATTTTTTTAGAATACTTCCCGACTCCTCAGCCCCCCCCCCCATTGTCAATAGGTGGCGTCACGAGGCAAAGCTGCATAGATGTGCCAAATATGAAGTCGATTGCTTCAAATTTCAGACACTTATCGTGTTTCATAGTAAGATCCAAAAAACAGTCGAAAATTGCGATCAAAAGATGGATACCGGCGTCAGATCGCAGCCATTTCTTTTACGCTTATGTGCCTCGTGGAGGGTTAAACAGGAGGCAAATTTCAATTTTGTAGCTCCAACGGTTCGAAAGTTATTCAGGAAAATCCAAAAGACGAGAACGGAGAATGGAGAACGGACAGAAAAAACAAATTTTTTTTCGACGGTGATCATTTCTGTACCAACGGCGATCCCATAGGACTTACCGTTACCGAGATATAAAATTTTTATACGAGCGCAGATACTTTCGAAAAATTCTATTTATAGTTTTATAGAAATAACACTGCACCAAAAAAAGAAATATCAGTACAAAGTTGGTCTAACTGTGAAGAAAGAGTAATAAAAGAAGAAAATATTTATCGAGAACGATTAGTGGCGGAGTTGATCACCAAAATAGGTGACGACAGTAGCGATAGTGACGACTTTTTAAGTGACTGATACTGATATCCCGCTTGTTAGCGTAGGTAGATAAATTCCTAGGACGGTCCTGGAATGGCTATCGGTAAGGTAAGGGTCTGCGGCTTTGGAGTAATAAACAGTAGGCAAAGTTAATCACGCGGTCGGATGTAAAAGCAATATATTTCTGGTCGAAGTATACAACGTTTTCGATGTTTTTCTCCGTAGGACGGGAACTAAAACCAAGTAAAATAAATATTTATGGAGGAAAGAGGAGGGAGAGCATCGGAGACGCCGTTCGACGTTTAACCGGAAAACTTTTCAATTTCCGCAGTCCGGAAAATCCGCGGTAATTAAAATAATTAAATCCGAGTGGACTTCGGCGGAAAATCGTATCCCGACGAAAACGTCGATGGAGAGAGGGCGACCCCCGCCCCCGCTACCGCGGGATGTCGATGAATATGCATTATTTTCGTTGTCGGTTTTAATTACTTCGATTGTTTTTTCGGCCGGACGGGCGAAATAAATCGAACTTTTCGAAATCACGGCTTTGGTTTTCTTATCGGCTTTGTGCGCTCTTACACATACACAAAAATCGCCCATATGGCACCTAAAAATGACCAAAACAACTAAGAATCGCCAACACAGAAAAAAATAAGGACAATTTTAAATTACGCAGTTTTGAGTTTTGTAACGAGTGATCCATAACTTTTTTATTTTACATTTTCAAAAAAAAGTTTAATACGAAAATTAAGATAAATTATACTACAACTAATTAATATATTACTGTTCTTTATATTTGTATTACCTGTCAACTGTCACAGGTGGTGTGATACCATCACAACGCACAGCCAACTACACAAGTGACAATTTTATTTATGACCAATTCCGGCCTTAATGTAGAAAATAACTATAACGTGTTACGAAATATTTCAAATCAGCATAAACAGATCTTTTATTTTATGAAATAATTTACAATTTAAAAATATATAACGTTGACATACTTTGGCGTATCCCATATATAAACAAACTACTAAATCTACACATCAGATCCTACAACTGTTGCATTAAACGTATTTTTTCTAAAAAAACATTATAATGGATCGCCCCTGCGCAACAAAATTTTAAAAAAGTATTTTACAACACAGTTAAGTGCATTTTCGTAAATATATGTTTAATACTTATTTTTGTAAAAGCGCTCAATGCTTATTGAAATTTACAGTCAAATGAAACGCAAAAATAAGAAATATTATTGGGTTCCAAGAATATATTTTTTATACCGGTTTTTAAAAGTTTTGGGGTTGATATTGTTAAACCGAAAAGAATTAAATAACCAACACCGACGATTTAGTTGGATTTAACTGCAGTACATGATCGGATGCAATTTAGTAAGAGTTCTTTAAATCAGTGTTAATTTTAGTCTCAAACTTAAAAGTAAATTTTAGTGTCATCAGCATATAGGTCATAATTACAATTATTGAACTGAGGTGGCGTTTACTTGAAAATCCATTTATCAAAAGAAATAAGAACTATAAGTTCAGATTTTCACGAAATTATACATTTTTACATGACAATTGTTTCATCAATTGTTTAGCACTAACAACACAATAAGAAAATTTTTCAAAAAACAATAAAGAATCAAGTGTCTGCAGGTTGATAGGCGGATCTTGTCCTAAAATTGATATTGGACAAACGCATTAACTAACATAAAAGTGCGTTTAAAAACAATAATCTAGATTCTAATTATGCTACACACTGAAACACAGAAAAACACATTTTTTGATATTTTACATACAACCACAAAAAGTAGAAAATTAAATCTATTGGAACCCATGGAGATTAACAGAATGATACATTCAAATGTATTGCTTAACCATCAATTAGAATTAAATACATCTCCTTTATTGAACTTAAATTCTCACAACAACATTAATTAAGGTTTTATTGCTATTTTTCGGTGTATTTAGTGACAGGTAGTTTGTAAAAATTACATTTGATAAAAATACGGTGTGGTCGAAACAATTGTCATATAAAAATGTATAATTTCGTGAAAATCTGAACTTTTAGTTCTTATTTATTTTCATAATTACAATATTTTAAAGCCTTTACAAAGTTAAACGTATAATTATATACAACAAGGGACCCAGTATGCTACCTTGCGGTACACCTAACTCAACGGAGAGTGGTTCGGGATACACATTGTCGTACCTGTTGAACTCTGTCGGATAAAGACAAATTTAA